TGCAATGTTCACAAGCACTAACTTGCAGTGCAATGTTCACAAGCACTAACTTGCAGTGCAATGTTCACAAGCACTAACTTGCAGTGCAATGTTCACAAGCACTAACTTGCAGTGCAATGTTCACAAGCACTAACTTGCAGTGCAATGTTCACAAGCACTAACTTGCAGTGCAATGTTCACAAGCACTAACTTGCAGTGCAATGTTCACAAGCACTAACTTGCAGTGCAATGTTCACAAGCACAACTTGCAGTGCAATGTTCACAAGCACTAACTTGCAGTGCAATGTTCACAAGCACTAACTTGCAGTGCAATGTTCACAAGCACTAACTTGCAGTGCAATGTTCACAAGCACCAACTTGCAGTGCAATGTTCACAAGCACTAACTTGCAGTGCAATGTTCACAAGCACTAACTTGCAGTGCAATGTTCACAAGCACTAACTTGCAGTGCAATGTTCACAAGCACTAACTTGCAGTGCAATGTTCACAAGCACAACTTGCAGTGCAATGTTCACAAGCACTAACTTGCAGTGCAATGTTCACAAGCACTAACTTGCAGTGCAATGTTCACAAGCACTAACTTGCAGTGCAATGTTCACAAGCACCAACTTGCAGTGCAATGTTCACAAGCACTAACTTGCAGTGCAATGTTCACAAGCACTAACTTGCAGTGCAATGTTCACAAGCACTAACTTGCAGTGCAATGTTCACAAGCACTAACTTGCAGTGCAATGTTCACAAGCACCAACTTGCAGTGCAATGTTCACAAGCACTAACTTGCAGTGCAATGTTCACAAGCACAACTTGCAGTGCAATGTTCACAAGCACTAACTTGCAGTGCAATGTTCACAAGCACAACTTGCAGTGCAATGTTCACAAGCACCAACTTGCAGTGCAATGTTCACAAGCACTAACTTGCAGTGCAATGTTCACAAGCACTAACTTGCAGTGCAATGTTCACAAGCACCAACTTGCAGTGCAATGTTCACAAGCACTAACTTGCAGTGCAATGTTCACAAGCACTAACTTGCAGTGCAATGTTCACAAGCACTAACTTGCAGTGCAATGTTCACAAGCACTAACTTGCAGTGCAATGTTCACAAGCACTAACTTGCAGTGCAATGTTCACAAGCACAACTTGCAGTGCAATGTTCACAAGCACTAACTTGCAGTGCAATGTTCACAAGCACAACTTGCAGTGCAATGTTCACAAGCACTAACTTGCAGTGCAATGTTCACAAGCACTAACTTGCAGTGCAATGTTCACAAGCACAACTTGCAGTGCAATGTTCACAAGCACTAACTTGCAGTGCAATGTTCACAAGCACCAACTTGCAGTGCAATGTTCACAAGCACTAACTTGCAGTGCAATGTTCACAAGCACAACTTGCAGTGCAATGTTCACAAGCACTAACTTGCAGTGCAATGTTCACAAGCACCAACTTGCAGTGCAATGTTCACAAGCACTAACTTGCAGTGCAATGTTCACAAGCACTAACTTGCAGTGCAATGTTCACAAGCACTAACTTGCAGTGCAATGTTCACAAGCACAACTTGCAGTGCAATGTTCACAAGCACTAACTTGCAGTGCAATGTTCACAAGCACAACTTGCAGTGCAATGTTCACAAGCACTAACTTGCAGTGCAATGTTCACAAGCACTAACTTGCAGTGCAATGTTCACAAGCACTAACTTGCAGTGCAATGTTCACAAGCACTAACTTGCAGTGCAATGTTCACAAGCACTAACTTGCAGTGCAATGTTCACAAGCACTAACTTGCAGTGCAATGTTCACAAGCACTAACTTGCAGTGCAATGTTCACAAGCACTAACTTGCAGTGCAATGTTCACAAGCACTAACTTGCAGTGCAATGTTCACAAGCACTAACTTGCAGTGCAATGTTCACAAGCACTAACTTGCAGTGCAATGTTCACAAGCACTAACTTGCAGTGCAATGTTCACAAGCACTAACTTGCAGTGCAATGTTCACAAGCACTAACTTGCAGTGCAATGTTCACAAGCACTAACTTGCAGTGCAATGTTCACAAGCACTAACTTGCAGTGCAATGTTCACAAGCACTAACTTGCAGTGCAATGTTCACAAGCACTAACTTGCAGTGCAATGTTCACAAGCACTAACTTGCAGTGCAATGTTCACAAGCACTAACTTGCAGTGCAATGTTCACAAGCACTAACTTGCAGTGCAATGTTCACAAGCACTAACTTGCAGTGCAATGTTCACAAGCACTAACTTGCAGTGCAATGTTCACAAGCACTAACTTGCAGTGCAATGTTCACAAGCACTAACTTGCAGTGCAATGTTCACAAGCACTAACTTGCAGTGCAATGTTCACAAGCACTAACTTGCAGTGCAATGTTCACAAGCACTAACTTGCAGTGCAATGTTCACAAGCACTAACTTGCAGTGCAATGTTCACAAGCACTAACTTGCAGTGCAATGTTCACAAGCACTAACTTGCAGTGCAATGTTCACAAGCACTAACTTGCAGTGCAATGTTCACAAGCACCAACTTGCAGTGCAATGTTCACAAGCACTAACTTGCAGTGCAATGTTCACAAGCACTAACTTGCAGTGCAATGTTCACAAGCACTAACTTGCAGTGCAATGTTCACAAGCACTAACTTGCAGTGCAATGTTCACAAGCACTAACTTGCAGTGCAATGTTCACAAGCACTAACTTGCAGTGCAATGTTCACAAGCACTAACTTGCAGTGCAATGTTCACAAGCACTAACTTGCAGTGCAATGTTCACAAGCACTAACTTGCAGTGCAATGTTCACAAGCACTAACTTGCAGTGCAATGTTCACAAGCACTAACTTGCAGTGCAATGTTCACAAGCACTAACTTGCAGTGCAATGTTCACAAGCACTAACTTGCAGTGCAATGTTCACAAGCACTAACTTGCAGTGCAATGTTCACAAGCACTACTTGCAGTGCAATGTTCACAAGCACTAACTTGCAGTGCAATGTTCACAAGCACTAACTTGCAGTGCAATGTTCACAAGCACTAACTTGCAGTGCAATGTTCACAAGCACTAACTTGCAGTGCAATGTTCACAAGCACTAACTTGCAGTGCAATGTTCACAAGCACTAACTTGCAGTGCAATGTTCACAAGCACTAACTTGCAGTGCAATGTTCACAAGCACTAACTTGCAGTGCAATGTTCACAAGCACTAACTTGCAGTGCAATGTTCACAAGCACTAACTTGCAGTGCAATGTTCACAAGCACTAACTTGCAGTGCAATGTTCACAAGCACTAACTTGCAGTGCAATGTTCACAAGCACTAACTTGCAGTGCAATGTTCACAAGCACTAACTTGCAGTGCAATGTTCACAAGCACTAACTTGCAGTGCAATGTTCACAAGCACTAACTTGCAGTGCAATGTTCACAAGCACTAACTTGCAGTGCAATGTTCACAAGCACTAACTTGCAGTGCAATGTTCACAAGCACTAACTTGCAGTGCAATGTTCACAAGCACTAACTTGCAGTGCAATGTTCACAAGCACTAACTTGCAGTGCAATGTTCACAAGCACTAACTTGCAGTGCAATGTTCACAAGCACTAACTTGCAGTGCAATGTTCACAAGCACTAACTTGCAGTGCAATGTTCACAAGCACTAACTTGCAGTGCAATGTTCACAAGCACTAACTTGCAGTGCAATGTTCACAAGCACTAACTTGCAGTGCAATGTTCACAAGCACTAACTTGCAGTGCAATGTTCACAAGCACTAACTTGCAGTGCAATGTTCACAAGCACTAACTTGCAGTGCAATGTTCACAAGCACTAACTTGCAGTGCAATGTTCACAAGCACTAACTTGCAGTGCAATGTTCACAAGCACTAACTTGCAGTGCAATGTTCACAAGCACTAACTTGCAGTGCAATGTTCACAAGCACTAACTTGCAGTGCAATGTTCACAAGCACTAACTTGCAGTGCAATGTTCACAAGCACTAACTTGCAGTGCAATGTTCACAAGCACTAACTTGCAGTGCAATGTTCACAAGCACTAACTTGCAGTGCAATGTTCACAAGCACCAACTTGCAGTGCAATGTTCACAAGCACTAACTTGCAGTGCAATGTTCACAAGCACTAACTTGCAGTGCAATGTTCACAAGCACTAACTTGCAGTGCAATGTTCACAAGCACTAACTTGCAGTGCAATGTTCACAAGCACTAACTTGCAGTGCAATGTTCACAAGCACTAACTTGCAGTGCAATGTTCACAAGCACTAACTTGCAGTGCAATGTTCACAAGCACTAACTTGCAGTGCAATGTTCACAAGCACTAACTTGCAGTGCAATGTTCACAAGCACTAACTTGCAGTGCAATGTTCACAAGCACTAACTTGCAGTGCAATGTTCACAAGCACTAACTTGCAGTGCAATGTTCACAAGCACTAACTTGCAGTGCAATGTTCACAAGCACTAACTTGCAGTGCAATGTTCACAAGCATAACTTGCAGTGCAATGTTCACAAGCACTAACTTGCAGTGCAATGTTCACAAGCACCAACTTGCAGTGCAATGTTCACAAGCACTAACTTGCAGTGCAATGTTCACAAGCACTAACTTGCAGTGCAATGTTCACAAGCACTAACTTGCAGTGCAATGTTCACAAGCACTAACTTGCAGTGCAATGTTCACAAGCACTAACTTGCAGTGCAATGTTCACAAGCACTAACTTGCAGTGCAATGTTCACAAGCACTGACTTGCAGTGCAATGTTCACAAGCACTAACTTGCAGTGCAATGTTCACAAGCACTAACTTGCAGTGCAATGTTCACAAGCACTAACTTGCAGTGCAATGTTCACAAGCACCAACTTGCAGTGCAATGTTCACAAGCACCAACTTGCAGTGCATGTTCTCAAGCACCAACTCGCAGTGCATGTTCACAAGCACTAACTTGCAGTGCATGTTCACATGTTCATGATGCGCCGTGTGATGTGATCTGAACCGCAGGCAGGAGCGCAGACGGGGTATTCGCTGCTGTGGATTCTCTTCTGGTCCACGGCGCTGGGCTTGCTGCTGCAGGTACGGCAGTAGGGGGGAGAGGTGAGGGGGATGTATAAAGAGGTGGCGCATTGGGGGGAGAGGTGAGGGGGATGTATAAAGAGGTGGCGCATTGGGGGGAGAGGTGGGCCATGGCGCTGGGCTTGCTGCTGCAGTGCAGGTATGGCGGGCTAATGCTTGAGAATGCGGGGGCTACCCTTGATTCTGAGTACGATCCTGAAATACCACCAAGGGATCTTTTCCCTTGCGTGCTCCTCCTGGTTGCTCCTGTCCTCCTGTGCTCCTGGTTGCTCTCTTGGCTGCTTGCGCTGTACTCCTGTGCTCGAACGGCTCGCAATGGGCCATTCTATTCAGTCAGTTCCACGTGGATTGCTCGCCAAGAGGAATGACATTCCCCGTGGACGCGTGGTTCCATTCAGTCAGTTCCTTCCACGTGCTTCATCATTTTCTCACCATGTTTCCTTCCCCGGACCCCAGATCTCTAGGCTACAGCGCACACTGGTGAAGACTTTTGCCCGCACGGCAAAAGTTAGACCCGCCACCGCCGTTGGCTCCTTTTCCACTCCCTTCCTTACGTCCATCCCACCCATACCTCCAGGCAGTAGCAGTGCAATTTTCAGCGTGGTGGCCAAGTGCCACCCGGCCGGGCCGTGCCCCAGGGAGTATGCTCCCCTCTGTTGTGCGCGTCGTGATGTGGTTCACGACAACTGATGCACGCATATGCCATTCTCCCACCATCCCGCCCCTTGCCTCCAGGCGATAGCAGCGCGCGTGGGCGTGGTGACGGGGTGCCACCTGGCGGAGCTGTGCCGCATGGAGTACTCCCCCGTGGTGCGCACCGTGCTCTGGCTCATGGCGGAGGTGGCCATAGTGGGCGCGGACATCCAGGAGGGTGATCGGCTGTGCCATCGCCATCCGCATCCTCACCCAAGGCGCTGTGCCGCTGTGGGCCGGCGTGCTGATCACTGGCCTGGACAGGTGGGTGGGATGTGCCACAAGGGTGGTAGCCTAGTAGGGTTCCTTCCAGCCCCCTGCTCTGGCTGATGGCGGAGGTGGCTAGGCCATAGTGGGCGCCGACATCCAGGAGGTCATTTGCTGCGCTGCGCCATCGCCATCCGCATCCTCTCAAGGGGAGCCGCGCCCCTCTGGGCGGGTGTGCTCATTACAGGGCTTGATAGGTGGGAGATTGGGTGATTAGAGCCTGGGTTACTGCTTCGGTTACCGAGCTCTGGTTCATGGCGGAGGTGGCCATAGTTGGTGCCGACATCCAGGAGTTTATAGGCTGCGGATGCATATCATCTCAAGGGGAGGATGCGGATGGCGCCGGACATCCAACGCCATCCGCATCCTCACAAAGGGAGCCGTGCCCCTCTGAGCCGGCGTGCTCACCACAGGGTTTGACAGGTGGGAAATGCTTAGGGGTTATACCCTAGTAGGATCCAGTTTGAAGCCACCTGCTGTGGCTCGTGGCGGAGGTGGCCACAGTGGGCGCTCTCGAGTGTCATGTGTCGAATGTGTGGAGTGTATGTGTTAGATGCCTTGAGCCGCCCCCCATGTCTCTCCGCCCCTTATCCTTGCTGCTGTCCCTGTTACCTGTGCTCCCAGCTTCCTCCTCCTGTTTCTCGAGAACTTAGGCATTCGCAAGCTCGAGGCGCTCTTTGGCCTCTTCATATCCATCATGGCGGTCTCCTTCGCCCGCATGTTCCTGGAAGCTGCGCCGGACACGGGGGCCATTGCACAGGGTGGGTAGTGTGGCATGGGGCACCAGGTATGTGGCTTTCCCATGCAGCCCCTTTGCTTTCTTCGCCTGCGCCGCCTGACGCAGGGGCCATTGCACATGGTGGGTGGGTGGTGCAGCATGGGGCAACGGGGTGTGAATGGGGCAGTGGGGGGGGGCACGGGGCAATGGGCGGGGCTCGGGGCGATGGGGGTTGCATGGGGCGATGGGGGTTGCATGGGGCGATGGGGGTTGCACAGGGCGATGGGGGTTGCATGGGGCGATGGGGGTTGCATGGGGCGATGGGGGTTGCATGGGGCGATGGGGGTTGCATGGGGCGATGGGGGTTGCATGGGGCGATGGGGGTTGCATGGGGCGATGGGGGCTGCATGGGGCGATGGGGTTGCATGGGGCGATGGGGGTTGCATGGGGCGATGGGGGTTGCATGGGCGATGGGGTTGCATGGGGCGATGGGGGTTGCACAGGGCGATGGGGGTTGCATGGGGCGATGGGGGTTGCATGGGGGCGATGGGGGTTGCATGGGGCGATGGGGGTTGCATGGGGCGATTGCATGGGGGTTGCACAGGGCGATGGGGGTTGCATGGGGCGATGGGGGTTGCATGGGGCGATGGGGGGTTGCACAGGGGCGATGGGGGTTGCATGGGGCGATGGGGGTTGCATGGGGCGATGGGGGTTGCATGGGGGCGATGGGGGTTGCATGGGGCGATGGGGGTTGCACAGGGCGATGGGGGGTTGCATGGGGCGATGGGGGTTGCATGGGGCGATGGGGGTTGCATGGGGCGATGGGGGTTGCATGGGGCGATGGGGGTTGCATGGGGCGATGGGGGTTGCATGGGGCGATGGGGGCTGCATGGGGCGATGGGGGTTGCATGGGGCGATGGGGGTTGCATGGGGCGATGGGGGTTGCATGGGGGCGATGGGGGTTGCATGGGGCGATGGGGGTTTGCACAGGGCGATGGGGGTTGCATGGGGCGATGGGGGTTGCATGGGGCGATGGGGGTTGCATGGGGCGATGGGGGTTGCATGGGGCGATGGGGGTTGCACAATGGGGCGGCGATGGGGGTTGCATGGGGCGATGGGGGTTGCAAGGGGCGATGGGGGTTGCATGGGGCGATGGGGGTTGCATGGGGCGATGGGGGTTGCATGGGGCGATGGGGGCTGCATGGGGCGATGGGGGTTGCATGGGGCGATGGGGGTTGCATGGGGCGATGGGGGTTGCATGGGGCGATGGGGGTTGCATGGGGCGATGGGGGTTGCACAGGGCGATGGGGTTGCATGGGGCGATGGGGGTTGCATGGGGCGATGGGGGTTGCATGGGGCGATGGGGGTTGCATGGGGCGATGGGGGTTGCACAGGGCGATGGGGGTTGCATGGGGCGATGGGGGTTGCATGGGGCGATGGGGGTTGCATGGGGCGATGGGGGTTGCATGGGGCGATGGGGGTTGCATGGGGCGATGGGGGTTGCATGGGGCGATGGGGGTTGCATGGGGCGATGGGGGCTGCATGGGGCGATGGGGGGTTTGCATGGGGCGATGGGGGTTGCATGGGGCGATGGGGGTTGCATGGGGCGATGGGGGTTGCATGGGGCGATGGGGGTTGCATGGGGCGATGGGGGTTGCATGGGGCGATGGGGGTTGCATGGGCGATGGGGTTGCATGGGGCGATGGGGGTTGCAAGGGGCGATGGGGGTTGCATGGGGCGATGGGGGTTGCATGGGGCGATGGGGGTTGCATGGGGCGATGGGGGTTGCATGGGGCGATGGGGGTTGCATGGGGCGATGGGGGTTGCATGGGGCGATGGGGGTTACATGGGGCGATGGGGGTTGCATGGGGCGATGGGGGTTGCATGGGGCGATGGGGGTTGCATGGGGCGATGGGGGTTGCATGGGGCGATGGGGGTTGCATGGGGCGATGGGGGTTGCATGGGGCGATGGGGGTTGCATGGGGCGATGGGGGTTGCATGGGGCGATGGGGGTTGCATGGGGCGATGGGGGTTGCACAGGGCGATGGGGGTTGCATGGGGCAATGGGGGTTGCATGGGGCGATGGGGATTGCATGGGGCGATGGGGGTTGCATGGGGCGATGGGGGTGGCATGGGGCGATGGGGGTTGCATGGGGCGATGGGGGTTGCATGGGGCGATGGGGGTTGCATGGGGCGACGGGGGTTGCATGGGGCGATGGGGGTTGCATGGGGCGACGGAGATTGCATGGGGCGATGGGGGTGGCATGGGGCGATGGGGGTGGCATGGGGCGATGGGGGTTGCAGGGAGTGACTCGGGGTTGCATGGGGCGATGGGGGTTGCATGGGGCGATGGGGGTTGCATGGGGTGATCGGGATGGCATGGGGCATATCCATACCCAATCCCATGCGCATTCGCATCCCCATACCCAATCCCATGCGCATTCGCATCCCCATACCCAATCCCATTCGCATTCGCATCCCCATACCCAATCCCATGCGCATTCGCATCCCCATACCCAATCCCATGCGCATTGGCATCCCCATACCCGTTCCCATGCGCGTTCGCATCCCCACACCCGTTCCCATGCGCGTTCGGATCCCCATACCCGTTCCCATGCGCGTTCGCATCCCCATACCCGTTCCCATGCGCGTTCGCATCCCCATACCCAATCCCATGTGCATTCGCATCCCCATACCCGTGCCCATGCACATTAGCATCCCCCAAACCCTGCACATCCGCATCCCCATTCCTATGCCATCCTCATTCGTCCCTCACACCATCTCTCACCTTTTCACCGTGCCTCTCTTTTTCAGGCGCCTCAAAAGCTCACCATTTTCCCCCATTCGTCCCCCGTGGAGCCATGGGCATGGCAGTGGGCATAGCCAGTGCCGTCATCATGCCACACAACATCATGCCACACAACATCATGCCACACAACATCATGCCACACAACATCATGCCACACAACATTATGTCACGCAACATCATGCCACACAACATCATGCCACACAACATTATGCCACGCAACATCATGCCACACAACATCATGCCACACAACATCATACAACACAACATCATGCCACACAACATCATACAACACAACATCATGCCACACAACATCATGCCACACAACATCATGCCACACAACATCATGCCACGCAACATCATGCCACGCAACATCATGCCACGCAACATCATGCCACGCAACATCATGCCACACATCATCATGCCACACAACATCATGCCACACAACATCATGCCTCACAACATCATGCCACACAACATCATGCCACACAACATCATGCCACACAACATCATGCCACACAGCATCATGCCACACAACATCATGCCACACAACATCTTCCTGCCCTCTGCACTCCTACAACCACGAGCTGACCTTGAGTCGACTCAAAAGTCACCTCGTGCAATCATGAGCCATCCACCGCCACTCCCCCTCTCCTCTCCCCCCTTTTCGTTCATCAACCACCACCCGGGCCTCCTAGTGCCCTCCATCCCCCGTGGGGCCATGGGCATGGCAGTGAGCATCGTGGGCACGTCATCATGCCGTACAAACATCTTTCTTCGCTCCAACACTCCTCTCATGTCCCCTTCCCCTCCCCCCCATCCCCCAAACCCCGAACTCCATTCCCCATCCAGGTCTGCTCATTCCATCCATCCCTCGCGGCGCCATGGGGATGGCAGTGAGCATAGTGGGCGCCGTCATCATGCCGCACAACATCTTCCTGCACTCCGCGCTCGTGCAGTCGCGGGCCATCGACCGCCACTCCCCCGCACGCGTGTCAGAGGCGCTTGTCTACTTCACCCTGGAGTCCGCCATTGCTCTCCTCCTCTCCTTCCTCGTCAACCTCTGTGTCGTCTCCGTCTTTGCAAAGCTGTTCTATGGGCGACCAGGGGCTGTAGACATTGGGCTCGATAACGCTGCTGAATATCTACAGGTACGTGTGTGTAGCTGGTTACCAGGTGTAACGGTGGATTACCACCAGTGGGTGGATCAGCAGGTGCTTATGATGAGTCTTCCGAAGTCCACTCCCATGCCCACCTGCGCAGGTCTCAGAGCCGCTCGTCTCTGCCACCCTTGAGCCCACCACCCCTCTCCTCCTGTACCTGCACGTGCGCAAGTATGGATCGATCAAGGACAGGCCCAGGGCATGCATTTGAGGCGCCTTAAAAGCAGTCTCAGTGCGCATGCGCAAGTATGGATCAAGGACTGGCCCAGGGCATGGGTGCGTGTGCGCGTCACCCACACACATGCCCCCTCGACGTGTGTAATGAGTCGATTTTTGAGTCCACTCATTACATGCGTGTGCTCGTCACCCGCACACACTCCCCCTCGACCTTTCCTTGACCTCGTCTTCACCTTTCTTTCGGCTCTCTTCGCCCTTTCTTCCCCCCTTGCACAGGCAGCCTTCAGCTGCTCCATCTTCCCAGTGGTCTTCACCTGGGCGGCGGGTCTGCTAGCAGCGGGCCAGTCGTCCACCATGACAGGAACCCACGCGGGGCACTTTGTGATGCCGGGCTTCCTCTTTGTGCGCCTGCTTTCCCAGGAAGCCAGTCGCCTCTTTACTGGCCGCCGGCCAGTCGTCCACCATGACAGGAACCTACGCGGGGCAGTTTGTGATGTCGGGCTTCCTGGACCTGCACGTGTGCAAGTGGGTGCGTGTGCTCGTCACCCGCATGGTTACACACGCCCTCACCCTCTCCTGTGCCTCTCTTTCTCCTCTCGCTCTCCTCTTTGCGCACCTGCTTTCCCAGGAAGCCTTTGGCTCCTCCACCTTTCCAGTGGTCTTCATCTGGGCGGCGGGCTTACTGGCCGCCGGCCAGTCGTCCACCATGACAGGAACCTATGCGGGGCAGTTTGTGATGTCGGGCTTCCTGGACCTGCACGTGTGCAAGTGGGTGCGTGTGCTCGTCACCCGCATGGTTACACACGCCCTCACCCTCTCCTGTGCCTCTCTTTCTCCTCTCGCTCTCCTCTTTGCGCACCTGCTTTCCCAGGAAGCCTTTGGCTCCTCCACCTTTCCAGTGGTCTTCATCTGGGCGGCGGGATTACTGGCCGCCGGCCAGTCGTCCACCATGACAGGAACCTACGCGGGGCAGTTTGTGATGTCGGGCTTCCTGGACCTGCACGTGTGCAAGTGGGTGCGTGTGCTCGTCACCCGCATGGTTACACACGCCCTCACCCTCTCCTGTGCCTCTCTTTCTCCTCTCGCTCTCCTCTTTGCGCACCTGCTTTCCCAGGAAGCCTTTGGCTCCTCCACCTTTCCAGTGGTCTTCATCTGGGCGGCGGGCTTACTGGCCGCCGGCCAGTCGTCCACCATGACAGGAACCTATGCGGGGCAGTTTGTGATGTCGGGCTTCCTGGACCTGCACGTGTGCAAGTGGGTGCGTGTGCTCGTCACCCGCATGGTTACACACGCCCTCACCCTCTCCTGTGCCTCTCTTTCTCCTCTCGCTCTCCTCTTTGCGCACCTGCTTTCCCAGGAAGCCTTTGGCTCCTCCACCTTTCCAGTGGTCTTCATCTGGGCGGCGGGATTACTGGCCGCCGGCCAGTCGTCCACCATGACAGGAACCTACGCGGGGCAGTTTGTGATGTCGGGCTTCCTGGACCTGCACGTGTGCAAGTGGGTGCGTGTGCTCGTCACCCGCATGGTTACACACGCCCTCACCCTCTCCTGTGCCTCTCTTTCTCCTCTCGCTCTCCTCTTTGCGCACCTGCTTTCCCAGGAAGCCTTTGGCTCCTCCACCTTTCCAGTGGTCTTCATCTGGGCGGCGGGCTTACTGGCCGCCGGCCAGTCGTCCACCATGACTGGAACCTATGCGGGGCAGTTTGTGATGTCGGGCTTCCTGGACCTGCACGTGCGCAAGTGGGTGCGCGTGCTCGTCACGCGCACCGTTGCCATCGTGCCCACCATCGTCGTGGCTCTGCTCTACAGCTCACCCGCTGCCTCTCCGCCAGTGGCAGCACTGTTTGTGCCCCTAACAGGAGCAGCAGACACGAGTGCTGCTGCAGCAGCTGTTCCCACGTTTGTCAACGTTTCAACTCCCTTCCGGCCTGCAACAGCAACAGCAGCAGCTAGTCTTCTCTTCTCCTCTCCCTTGGCTGCCCTGCCTTCTCCTATCACGGACCACTCCCTTGTGTCATCCATTTCACCCTCGAATGCATCACTGCAGTTCATCACATCGCTTGCTGCTTCCCTCCCCTTCTCCTCCACTCCCCACTCCTCCTCCTATCCCCTCTCCTCCCCCCCCTCCACTCTCCCTGCCGCACTCACCCCTCATGCCTCTCTCACCCCCCCCATGCTCACCATCTCCTCGCTGGATTCCCTCAACGAGTGGCTCAACGTCCTCCAGTCCGTGCAGCTGCCCTTCGCCATCATCCCCCTTCTTGCTATCGCCACGTCACCGCACGTCATGGGGCGATACGCAATCAAGGGGGCGGTCAAGGTGAGCAAAGTCATAGAGGTGAGGCGTGAGTGAGTGTCTTCCAGTCAGTGCAGCTGCCCTTCGCCATCATCCCCCTCCTCTCCTCTTTTCCCCCACTTGGCTTCCCCATGAGGTGCATCACGCCCGGGCCTCTGCCACTCTGTGCATCACCAGCAATCTCGCTCCCTTGCCCCCCTGCCCTCTTCCAACACATCCCCCACTTTGCTTCCCCATCAGGTGCATCACGCCCTGGCCTCTGCCACTCTGTGCATCACCAGCAATCTCGCTCCCTTGCCCCCCTGCCCTCTTCCAACACATCCCCCACTTTGCTTCCCCATCAGGTGCATCACGCCCGGACATCAGCCGCTCGTGCCATTGCCATCGACCTCTCTCTCCTCCTTCACTCTCTCAGACCGAGAGACATACACACTTGCTTTCCTTCCCTCCCCCCCCACCCCCACCCCCCACCCCCCCCCTAATCCTTCCCCATCAGGTGCTAGCCTGGGCGTCAGCGGCTCTGGTCATCGCCATCAACCTCTATCTCCTCCTGGACTGCTCCCGGACCAACCTCCCTCACTCTCTCCTGCCTCCTCTCCCTTTCAACGCATGCTCTCTTTCCTCATCCCCCCACCCCTCAGGTGCTAGCCTGGGCGTCAGCGGCTCTGGTCATCGCCATCAACCTCTATCTCCTCCTCGACTTCTCCCGGACCAACCTCCCGCACTCGCTCACCACGCTCTGCCTCCTGCTCCTCCTCGCCCTGCCGTACCTGCTCTTCCTCCTCCACCTCGCCCTCCGCCCTCGCAGTGAAGGGGCCGAGTTCAGCCACCACCATCGCCACTCCAGTGGGGCCCATCCTGGTGCCCACTTGCACGGTAGCTACAGTAACGAGCACTCTAGTAACAGCCTGGCGCCTCAACCGGGACATTCAGGGAGGCAAACCGGTCTTGGAGCGCCTTTGTTAGAAGGCTAGCAGAATCGGTAACACACCACAACCTGACATAATATCGTTTTGTGAGCTACCCAGCGTGATCCCTGTATTGCAAGCCATAATAGTTTTCTAGTGCCTTTGCTGAACCAGATGCAGTGCAGACAACACCTTGGCTTCCGCGCTGCAAGCTTCGTGAATAAATTAGTTTTCATGACAAAAACAGCTAGCAAATCAAAGGCATTAGGGTGTAGAAGGGTTATTGCTGCCATGGAGAGAGGGACATTTATAAAATACAATTGGCGAAATGCACCATTAGTGAAATAATATAATAAATGCAATCAGCCCATACTGTCTTCTGGGAGGCCTGGCTCTCCATGCTGCAGCAGCTGTGAGCGTAAAACAATTCATAGTGCCGGCAGGGTATGTAAGCTGTGCCAACCAGTCCTGCCCTGTGCCGATCACCTGCTGACACTCCTCAACACCTCCTCCCCCCCCCATCAACCCCCCCCCCCCCAATTGTGCATTTATTTTGCTCTGCGACGAGTCCGGGATGTGCTTCATTGCCCATTGCCATTACCACGCCTCCTCTCCTCCCCATTGCCCATTCTCCACCCCATTCTCCTCCCCTCCCCGCTTGCCCATTGACCAAGCATTCCACTGTGGCGAGTCTCCGATGTGTCTCATGCCCATTGCCTGCACACCCCCTTCCCTCCGTCGCCCCATTCAAAAGCGCGTCTGTCAGGACTTGGGAGCGGGAATACCTTGAGCCGCCTTCAGCTGCTCTCAGGCATTCCACCGCGACGAATCCTGGATGTGTCTTGTGCCCATTGACTGCACCAAGCTGTACGTGTCGGGCTCCGGTTGGTTGAAGTTGCTGTAGTAAAACACGTCCAGCACTCTCCTCGGGCCCACGCTGCCCCTCGAGCAGCTCTTGAATTTCGGTTTCGCAACGACCAATGGGGAGCTTGCGCCGACCGCCAGATCATCGTTCGAAAAGCTCGCGAATCCGAGCGTGTTGCCGTCCGTAACGTTGGTTACTTTGTAGTAGTTGAACTTGGCTACAGTGGTGAGGTTCTCACAGTACTTATACCAGGTGTTGCGCTTGTTATTAATGAGTACGAGGTCCAGGAAATTGTCGGAGGGCAGGCCGCTGCAGGAGCCGGTTTGGGCCGCAGAGAGGGTGTCTGCGGTGTTGCACGGGTTACCGCTGATGGTTCTATCCAGGCAGATGTCCTTCATCCATGGCCAGAGCTGGAGAGGAGGGGGAGAGATGTGGGGGGAACGAGGGAGGAAGAGGGGAGAGCGTTGATTCGGTGTTCCAGGGGTTATCGTTGATGGCCTTGTCCAGACAAATGTCCTTGCAGGTGTGTTAGAGTATGTTGTGCCGCCTCAATACAAACATAAAGACTGCACCACTCACATTGTTCCAGAGAGGAGTGTCATAGTATTTTCTCCTCATCGACTCCCAGTACGTGCCCGGGCGAATGGCGCAGTTGTTGAGCGTGGGGGTTAAACACGTAAACCACCCCGTCATTCCCGGCACATTCTTCATTATCACATCCTCTACAAAGTTCCTGCAAACAGTAAGGATACAATTGGTTGGAATGGTGAGAGGCAGGAAAACACGGGAAGGGTGAAGAAGGACGTTACATAGGCCTAGGTGGGTGACGTGGGTCCAGATAAAGGAACAAATCAAATTTCACTCACATCAATAACATTGGCCCCGCCTGACAAAGGCCACTCACCATTTTCCATTATTGACTTTGATGCCATCGTAAGTGCCGATGCACGCCCCTCCGCGCACCGTGATTCCAGACGAAACATAATCAAAATAATAGCAGTGGTCGCCGTTGTAGATATAGTTACACTCCGCTACATTTCCTGGGTTAAACCAGTGTACACAATAATAAATCCCCGCCGCGTCCTGATCGCCGCTCATGTTACGCGCCGTCGCGACAACAAGGTTGTTGGAGATCGTCGTCAGCATGCAGTCCCCCTGGAAGCTGACGTCAGCGCCGCAGCGAATCCCCGCGAAAAGGAAGTCGTGGATGTAGTTGTTTCGCACGGTTACACCCACCGCGCCACGGTAGAGAACGATAGGCGTATGCACACCTGCAATTCGCAACAGGAGGGAGGGATCAAGTAAGGTTGATCGGGGAGAGCGGGGATGGCATGGCAATTAGCTGGGGAGAAAGAAGAGCGTGAAGTGCAGCGGGAAGGAATCGGGAGAGAAGGCAATGGTTCAGGCAAGGGCTTGGGTACCCGGCAAGAGGAAACAGGGCGGGAGGCGGTTGAGGAGCAGGAAGGGGGATGGGGGAAGGCGGGGGGGTGGGGGGTTTGGGGGAATGTGCACGGTGGAGGGTGGGGAGAGAAGAGAAGGGATGGGAGGGGATATGTGAGGAGGCAGGGACAGAGAAAAGAGTTCTCACCATAGACCTCGTTGTTGGTGATGGCGATGTACGACGGCTCCAGCGTCGGCCCATACCCGCAGAACGCGACGCGGATCGCGCCGTTCGTGACGTCGAAGTCCGACACGCCGGTCACCTTCATGCTGTCGATGCGCGACACCACGCTCCGAAACACGTCGATCCGTCCGAACAGCGTCCCCTTCACCACCTGCACGTGATGGCACCCGTAGATCGAGATCGTCGGGCAGATGATCCCGATGCCGATGTTAGGGATGTTCGCGCACACGCCAGACACGGCGGTGAACGGCTGCTGGAAATTCACCCCGTGCACGAGCACGTTGCTCGTGTTCCAGATTCGGAGGAGCGGCTCGTCGGTGCGGGCGAGCGAGAGCGTCGCGCCGTTGGGCGCGGCGCGCGCGGAGCGCAGGATGGTGCAGGCGAAGGAGGCGTTGAAGAGCAGCCCGCGCGTGAGCGCGATGTCGGCCTGCAGCTCGAGGATGACCGTGGATCGCGGGGAGTACTGCAGCCGCTGCGCGAAGTCCTCCTCGGACGACACGGAGATCTTGACCGCCGTGAGAAGCGGCGAGCAGGGCGACTCGGTGGCGACTGGAGGGGGAAGAGCGTGGGGATGACAAGGAGGGTAGGGGAGGGGGAAAGGGGGGGGGGAGGAGGGGGAGAGAGGCGAGAGGAGGGGGGAATGGGACGCGGGTGAGGAAGGGGGTAGAAGGAATAGTGGAGTTGGAGAAGAAGGGGGAACGGCCGTGATAGACGAGTGGCGAGAAGCGGAGCAATGAAGGGGTGCGAAATGGGGGAATGGGGGAAAGGGGGAAAAGGGGAAGGGGGGAAAGTTGGAAGAGGTGGGGAGGAAAGGCTGGGGAATGGGGAAGGGGTGGGTGGGGGCCGACAGAAGTAGGAGGGACTAGGAGGAGATCGGATGAGGCACACATCGCGACACCTCGTGGCGGAAGGATGCAGGAGCGATTGAGGGGGGGGGGGCTGATTGCGACTCGTCGTGGACGGGGTTGTGGAGAAGGGAGAAGGCGCGAAGAACGGCAGCGGCAGAAAGGAGTGGCTTTCTCACAGGAAGAGAGGAAAAAGGAATGTGATGATTTATTGCTCGAGTCCCTGTGTGACTACAGGGGAAGTGCTTACGCGCAGTGCTCGTCGAGTACACTGTCATGCTGCTGCTGACGAAAGAAACTGTCGACGTCGTCATCGTGCTGGTACCCGATAACGAAGTGTCCAATAACGAGTACCGATGCGGGAGCGTAACATTCTCTCCCTTCACTCCCGCACTGCTGCTGCCGTCGTCGCTGTTCCCGTTGATGCCGCCAACCCTGCCACTAGCGGCATCCCCAGATAGCTCCGCGACTCCGTTATATCTGCCGCTCCCATGGATTTCATCCCGCCGGTTGCTTTGCCGGATTTCTTGTCGGCCGTCTATTTGGCCGTCAGTTTGACCGTCAAGCGTGACAACCAGTCTCTCCTCCTGCCCGTCCCCTTGCCGTCCGTTCAACTGTTGTTGAAAGAGGTCAGCAAGCAGCGGCAGCAGACGATGGCGCTGCGGCACGCTCCGACTGAGACTAATTGAGTAGCTATGGCCGCGCGCGCGCGCACAGAAGAAGAGTGTTAGGAGCATAAGATGGAGACCGCCACGTGAAAGAGAGGCGGGCCGCAAGCGGTGACCGCGTATGTGGACCATGGCGCCTCGTGGATTCGGATTGGCTGTATGTCTGATCGATGAAGCAGGCTCAGCTTTCTTGCAAGAATGAGTTAGTAAGAATAACTACTTGTGAGGGCGATGCGTCGGCCACATGAAGGAACAAGGCCAATGTGCCCGTGACCAGTCGTCACCGTGCCCTACAATATTCCGCGGCGGATCCGTCTTGTCAGTGTCTCAGAACTAATGGGAACTGACTTTAGTTGACGAATTTCTTGCGGCTGGTTTTCATCAGGCTAGGATAGCATGACCTGCATGTTCGTTGCGGTGGCCAGCAAGATAAGCAAGCTGGCCTCCAGCCGACCACATGTTTCCATGTGTGGAGGAACTCGGGCAGCCTGGGTTGAGGGGGTGTGTGGAGGTGTTGCATCTGATCCGCCCGTCTAAGATCTAAAAGTGGTCAGTTTTGCCCTGATACACCTGACGTCCAGTGAATTGCTCATTCAATAAATGCCATGTTTTTATTAACAGGCCTATTAGTCCAAACGCACGGGAAACGGCCAAAACAACACAGGCCCAATGATCTGCAACAGTTACCGAATCTGAGAACTCCAAACATGCAGACGGGACGTTCTGAAACCTTACACTGTTGCGCGAGGAACGCACAACAAATAAATGGTCATCCGCTTTAGACTGGAGAATGCCAACGAGGTAACCAGACTACCCTATATATTGGCCCAATTAGCCCGTGAAAGTTAGGCGCTCAACTTTGGAGCAGCCGCTCGAAAAACAACTGGGCATGAAAAGGACTTCATGTGTACAGAACACTATTGGAGACCAATGATTCGAGAGGTAGGAGCGGAATGCTTGTTCGAAACCAACGAATGCATTCTTGTACGCAGGGCACATTCCGTGCTCGTGTCATCCCAACTTCCCGTCAATGTTGCCAGCGTTTTGGAACTTCGGGTCTTCCGGTATGGGGCAAATGAACGGAAGGCCAGATAACACGAGTCCGGAATGCGCCCGCAGTGTCTGTGATTTTGGATTAGAGAAGTTCAGGTGGTTTTCCAGCATTGCCCTGAACCTGACTGTTCGCAGCACTCCCATTGGCCCTCTCGATTGTCCCCAGGCGCTTCGGCTCCTCCTCAACAACCATGGCCCATGGACCATGAGTCCACAACCCTTCATCGAACGGCTACAGTGCGCTAAGCGTCAGGAGCTGTTGCCGACAGTAACTTCTTGCTGTCTGCTGACCGATTAGCCACACGTTTGCAGCTCCCGTTACCCTTAGGACCACTGGGAAAACCCGAATCTATTCGGCAGGTCCAGTGCTCTTGGCAGGTCCAGTGCTCGTGTCGTGACACTTCTTCGTAACGGATTTCACTATTACACGCCGTACGGCTCCCGCTTCCATTTCGTACGACGACAGATGTCGCTCTGCTTGGCGACGGGGGAAGCTGTTCGCAATTTGAACTTCTTTCGCAGAATGACGTGGCGACAGCTCTCAATCGTTTCATCTATCTGGGCAGATGGCAGCAGGGCAACAGCACCAACAACCTCTACTGTCCATGATAACCTGAAAGTCCTCAGTCGTTTACTCATATGCTTTATGGCCATATCTTTTGCTTCTAAAACATAGCACGCTAAACCACTACTATCATGTACCTTTGAATGAGCTCTCAAGAGCCTCTAACCACTCTGGTTTACTCCCACTCTAAATTGCCTACGCTCACCATGTTCTTGATAACTAACATCTCATGTATAAAGCATCCTTGCATTGGTTCACACATCTTGCAATCATCTAAATATAGCTCCATCATGCTGTTAGTTTCCTGCATCCCACACGCAATTAGTGTAATTATATACAACTGGTACACCCTTTTACGATTCTATATGTACAGTGGTTGCGACACCATTCCTCTGCAACTCAACCCGACAAATTAGCCGCCGCCCATCGCAGTCAGAGTGACCTCCCAGACAGGCTAATGGGTGCTGCCCACACAGCTGCGAGCCGTTGTCGCTCCTCTCAGTGGCAGACACACCAGTGTGTGGCGGTGGCTGGTGGCACTGAGAGGCATCAGGAGACAAATGAAGCTGAGCAAAGCGAGGGCTGGAAGAGGGAGGACCGAAGGAGACGGTGTGAGTGGAGTTAGATTGAGGATTGGTGGAGGGTAGGGTGAGGAGGTGGCGGAGAATGGGGTCTGCGAGGCAGGTGTCATTCAGGTTGGGGGAGGAGGATGTGCCTGCGGTTGAAAGAGCGAGAAACAGCAGGGAAGGGGGGTGAATGGTGTGGGAGCGAAGAGAGATGGAGGGATTGGGGAGAGAGATGGCAGCACCAGGTAATCAGTTACGTCGGTGGAGTACGAAGCAGTTATGAATGAAAATTTTGTAACGGGCACTCGTGATCCAAGAGAGAATGGGCAGAAGAAAAGAGAAGAGCACTTGTTACAGACCTGCACTGCTCGCCAGGAATAGAGCAGAAGTGATAGCATCCACCCCCCCTCCCCCGCCCAGCACAGTGGAAGTGACTCAGTACTCACCATCAGTAGCAACAGCAGCAGCAGCAGCAGCAGCAGAGTGGAAGATGACGTGGGAGAGGCGCTGCTTGGCCTGCGCGCACCGCAGCTTGTACATCTCCCCCATCCTCTCCATCAGCGGCAGCATTACACACGCTGGAAAGAGTATCGAGGTGCATTGGTACTCACCAGCACTAGCAAGAGCACCCCCCGCAGCGGAGTGGAAGATGACGTGGGAGAGGCGCTGCTTGGCCTGCGCACACCGCAGCTTGTACATCTCGCCCATCCCCTCCACCAACAGCCGGTAGACATGCACACGCCGCTGCTGTCCCGTGCGCCACACACGCGAGATGGCCTGGGGAGGAATTGGGGAAGGGGAGGGGAGGGGGAGGAGGGGGGAGGGGAGGGAGAAGGGTGAAAGGGGCAATAGAAAGAGGGGAAAATGCTGTTGGAAAACACGGGTCCCAACACAGCATCCAGCATTGCAGCATCGCATTGTCTTTCAAGTCCTTCTTTCTGACAGGCTAAGCCTTACCTGCTGATTGTGTTGAGGTTGAGGCGACTCAAAGCACGCTTCACGGGCGCCACCATCACAGCTGCACGCGAAGCTGCACTCCTTACCTGACTGACCCAAGCCTTACCTGCTGATCAGACGCAGGGTTCCAGAGGGCATCCAGCATGACGACTCTGGAGGCCACAGTGAAGTCGATGCCCAGGCCGCACGCCCTCACTGCCGCCACCATCACCGCTGAGCGCGGGCCTTTCTCCTTCTGGAAGCGCTCGAACGCGTCGCTGCGCTGCCCCTGGGTCATGTTGCCGTCCACACGCAACACCTGCTCGTCCCGCTTCCAGCTCCTGTCCGCAAGACGAAGGGGAGAGGATTGTGGGAGAAACGGAGAGCCCAAGCTGGAAGAGTGGAAGGCGGAAGGGGACCCTTCATTGATGTGCGGCCCTCAACTCATGCTGCCATCCATCTGAAAGCTAAACTCACGCAGGATCTGCACGTCTCGTTTCCAGATCCTGTGCACGCGGAGGAGCAGGAAGGTGGGAGAGCAAGCACGCGGTGGGAGAGCAAAAATCAAGTTTTGAGGCGCCTCAAAACTATAAATCAACCCTTAATTGATGCGCTGCCCTCAACTCATGCTGCCCTCCATGTGCTCGCCTCTTTTGAGTCGACTCAAAAGAGGCCATCCATGGTTGGACGCCTCTTTTCTATCTCCTCAACTCGGTCGGTCGACTCTTCTCTAGCTCCTGTCAGTTCAATGGAGCAAGTTGTAGAGAGGGAGCGTGAGACAGATGAGGTTTCAGAGGATAGTGAGACAGATCGAAGGAGAGCAAGAAAGAGAGGCAGAGAGAAAGGGCATGGCATGGCATGACAGATAAAACACAACCACAGCCTTCTCCCCCATGCGCACATAGAACCTGACATGTCCGGTATCCCACCTCCTGGCAAGCAAGCACTCCCATGGAAGAGAAGATTCACCCCTGAGAGAGGTCCAGGCGAATGTGTTCCCCTGCAAACACCACCGCCCCTTCTACCATGCGAGCTCCTCTGCAAACACCACCGCCCCTTCTACCATGCGAGCTCCTCTGCAAACCATCCCACCTCCCGGCGGCAAGCATGCACTCAGCTTTTGAGCTTTTGAGCTTTTGAGCTTTTGAGCTTTTGAGCTTTTGAGCTTTTGAGCTTTTGAGCTTTTGAGCTTTTGAGCTTTTGAGCTTTTGAGCCGACTCAAAAGCAGTCCTCTGTGAACCATCCCACCTCCGGGCAAGTGTGCACTCACATGGCATGGCAGATACACCCCTCCACGACAAGGACAGGTGCCCCTCCAGAGTCAAAACAGAACATGGCATGGCACGGCTTTTGAGGCGCCTCAAAAACAAACATGGCATGGCACAGAGACCCCACCACCACGTCCAGGTGCACGTGCTCCTCTGCAAACATCACCACCTTCTCCCCCATGCGCACCTGCCCTCACATCCTGTGTGTATTGCATATCATATCCCTCCGCTGAACTCACACGGCATGGCATTATGAGACCCTACCACCAGGTCCAGGTGCACGTGCTCCTCCGCAAACACCACCACCTTCTGCCTTGAGTGCACAAAGACCTGCCTGGCATGTTCTGTATTCCATCTCTAAACACACACTCACATACATGGCGTGGCAATTAGATCCCACCATCGGGTCCAAGTGAACATGCTCCTCGGCAAACACCACCTTTCCCCCATGCGCACATACGACCTGCCACACCCTGTACTCCATCTCCACTATTGGCACTCATATGGCATGGCAGAGCGACCCCACCACGAGGTCCAGGTGCATGTGCTCCTCAGCAAACACCACCACCTTCTCCCCCATGTGCACTACCTATTGTAAAATATATATCTATACAACATGCATGCCTAGATTAGGAGGGGTGGTCATTATATTTATTTGGGGTTGTTGGTTGGGTTGACCAACCCCACATTTGGGTTGGTCAAGATTGGATTTGGTCCCAGACATTTGGTTGGCACTGTTCCAACCAAATGGTCCTTGGTCCTAAGACCCAACCAATCACCAAGCACCACACATTGTGGTTGCTTACCTTCCAAGCAACCTCTCCCATTGGCCCACATTGTGGCCAATCGGAGAGCACCACACTTTGTGGTTGCTTGTCCTCCAAGCTACCTCTCCCATTGGTCCACATAATGGCCAATGAGAGACCTTCCCTTCCATCTCTTCCTTGCTCCTTGTTTGTACAATAGAGCCTCTTGGCTCCCTACTCAAACAATCCTTTCTCCTCTAAGCTAATTCCTTCACTACCCGCCCCACACGCATTGCGTATGCATCCAACTCCAAAGCACGCACTCACATGGCATGGCATAGCAACCCCACCACCAGGTCCAAGTGCACGTGCTCCTCGGCAAACACCACCACCTTCTCCCCCAGGCGCACTGCTTGCCGCACAATCGCCACCATCGCCGCCAGCTTCGGTGACACCTCCGCGCCCTGCTGCCGCTCTATAGCACCCCACATCGCACTCAACGCCTCCCTGTTGCGCTCCAAAAACTGCGGCTCGCCATTCATCCCCTTGCCAGCACCCATTTTGTCGCTACTTGCTTTGGGAGGCGATCCACCTAAAGCGCCCTGCCCTTCTAAGCCTACCCTGCCAGAGGCACACAGCGCTGAGGGCTGGAAGGAGCGCATGGCGTGCATCGCTTGCGGCATGCCCCGGATGCCGCGGTTGAGCTTCCAGGCGAAGGCACATGGATGCACGCATAGGCTGCCCACTATCTTGAGGTCTATCATCGACAGCTGCCACTCCGCGCTGCTAGCGCTGCTGCTGGTGTTGATGTTGTTGATGTTGTGTCGCAATGACTGCTGCTGCTGCTGCTGCTGGGCTAGGCGGGGCTGCACTGAGGCGGAGTAGAAGGCTTTGAGGATCGCGAGCTGGAGAGGCGTGGGGTGCAGGAGAAGAGTGACGTCCACTAGGTCTGGAAAGGGACAAGGGAGAAAAGACAAGGGGTGGCGGAAAGAGTGAAGGTACGATAAGAGACAAAGGTGTGGGTGTAGGGAAGGAAGAGACAAGGTACGGTAGGAGAAGAGGTGTGGGGTGCAGGAGACGGGTGGCGTCCACTAGGTCTGGCTGGAGAGACAAGTGATGGTCGCATGGATACTACAAGTCATCACGGAGAAAGATAGCAGCACTGGTGGATAAAAGAGACAAAGAGACAAAGAAACATAACAAAGGCACACATAAGGAACGAACATGCCACGCCAACTATGTGAGAGTATGACCCCGTTACACTTTCTCTCTCTTTTCTAGATTTCTTATCCATCTTATCCTCTTTTTTTTATCATAATTCATTTAATCTTTATCTCATCATATTTGGTTTCCAATTCTTCATTCTCCATTATCCTTTGGGTTATCCTTTTATTATATTTATATCGCCGACTAGGCTCGGGATGTACTGGCTAACGCTCTCTAGCGTAATCCTGTCGCAATCCCTTCAAATCAATAGCCTCGCATGGCTATACGCAGGGTGATTCTACTCTCTAGAAGCGTCTATTCCATTAAAATAAGATAAACCCGATTCCCTGTTGTACTCTAGAAATATAAAAGCGCCCTATATTTTTCGATAGTGCAAATTTTCCTCGACACGTTTCGATCCTGTGACAAATACATGGCAAACGCGTGGAAATTCAATAAACATTCAACCCACCTCCTCACACACCAAAGCCAAGTGTCACTGCCAAATTACAGCACACCACACATCCTTTGCATCCCTTGCTCGCCCTATTTCTTCCCTAGTGTTTTGAGACGTCTCAAAACTCGTTCCATGCTGCGCTATAACCCAGATCCAAAACCACTTCATGGAAAGCCACATGACCACAAGACCTTCCTTACATCCAAACCAGGGGTGCTTGTGAGTTCACACTATACGCATACCTTTCAGCCTGCCCTTCGCCATATAACCTTTAACAACCTATGTCCTAAACCCCTACCTCTCAGCCTGCCCTGCAACACGCACCTTGCACCTCCTCAACTTGTTCTGCAGCACGCATCTCGCACCTTACACTCGGCGCCTAAAACTCTGCCAGTCAGCCCGCCCTGCAGCACGCATCTTGCACCTTACAATCGGCGCCTAAAACTCTGCCTGTCAGCCCGCCCTGCAGCACGCATCTTGCACCTTACAATCGGCGCCTAAAACTCTGCCTGTCAGCCCGCCCTGCAGCACGCATCTTGCACCTTACATGAGGCGCCTTAAACCCCTACCTCTCAGCCGGCCCTGCAGCACGTTGCCGTCTGTCTGCACAAGGTCGAACATGAGCGCCTTCAGCCCCTGCACCTTCACCAGCGGAAACTCCTCTGACCCTGCCACACCCTCGTACCCACTCCTCTCCTTGGGCGATGCCCACTCCTTCCCTTCCCCACGCTCTCCCTCCTTCCCTTCCTCCCCGTCTCCCTCCCTCCCTTCCTCCTCATCTCCCACATTCCCCTCCTCTTCATCATCCTCCGCCATCACTAAATCGTTCTCCTCCTGCTCCTCCTCTTGCCACCTTCCCTTGCCCCCCCGCACCCTTCTCCCCCCCCTATCCTTCGTTCTCCCTTTCTTCAGCGGCACATCAAAGATCCGTACGAACTCAGCTCGAGCTCGCCGCCTCTCCCTCCTCTCCCTCTTGCTCAAGTATCCATACCCGCCTTCACCCCCCTCCTCCATCTCCCCTTCCTCTTCCTCCTCTTCTCCTTCTTCCTCCTCTTCCTCCTCCCCCTCACCACCATCATCCTCCTCCTCTGACACTCCCTCATCCTCCCCCCTGCCTCCACTTCCCCCAACCTCACAACCACCACCCAATGCCTTCCTTCCACCCCTAAGCACCGTTTTACATGCCTCAAAACCGCTTCTATCGGGCTGGCCATTTTGATCACTCCTCCTCTGTTGCATTCCCTTCCCCTCGCCCATCCCCATCCCCCCATGCTGTGTTTTCCTCCCCTCCCCTCTCCCTTTGCCCACCCCCCTGCCCATTCCAAAGACGGCTTGGTGCATGCGGGGGCGCTGCACGAAGCACGCCAGGTCCCACAGCTCCAGCGTTGAGTTCTGCAGCGGCGTGCCCGTGAGTAGCAGGCGACGGCGAGTGTGCAGGCGGTCCAGGGCCTGCAAGGGAGGGAAGGGGTGGCAGGAGAAGAAGGGCGATGAAGGAAGAAGCACGCCAACCAGGTCCCACAGCTGCAGGCGGTCCAGGGCCTGGCGAGCGAAGCACAAAGGAGGAGTCAGAAACAGCGACGAAATACAAGCAGAAGTCAGCTGTGCCCGTCAGCAGCAGGCGCCTCCGCAAGTGCAGACGATCCAGGGCCTGGCGAGAGACGAACAAGAATGAAACTGGCGGCAGTTAGCAAACACAAGGATAAGTCATGTCCCCGCCAGCAGCACGAGTAAGGAAAGGGGAGGGAGAGAGCAGAAGATCTGATTGCATCAGCCATGTGCTCTTCACACGCGGTGTGTGTGACCTTCACCAGCAGGCGCCGCCACGTGTGAAAGTGGTGCAGTCCGTTTTAGGAGATGGGCGGACGAGAAATAGAAGATAAATTTGACAGGGGATAAGTATAGTACATTGTATTGTAACAAAGCCATAAAGGCAGTAGACGAGCACTTGAAACAAGGAAAATACGCCCTCTTGAAGTAAGCCCCACAACCTATCTCGGACTGGCAAACGGCGTTGTGAATTGAGTTTGAGAGCACAACACGCGAGTGTCTATAGCCTCCGCCGCCGCCGCCGCAGCAGACAACTACAGCAACACCCAATCCTGATGGATATTCCTCTGCACAAGGGAGATGGCACTGGAACTTATTCCAGCATGATTTCAAGACCCGGCCTGGCACTACATCTGCGATTTCCAACTAGTGGGATGACGATACCACTATGCCCTAGACCAACGTGGTTATGCCACATGCTCTCAGGAGCTCAGAGAATGAGATATTATGAGGATGGGAGGACTACGATGATCTTCGAGTTCTCATGGTCCAGTGACATTCAAGTGAGTCATAAAACCTGCATCACCAATCAATCCATCACTAGCACCACCTCCATGGAAGCTGATAGGCGTGAACCGGAGCGCCGAGGCCACTATGAATAGAGAAATCCGCGTTACTCTTATGACACCAATACGAGCAAAACTGGAGCATATTCAACATCCATACTAAATAGCTGAAATGACATTAGCATCAATGAAGCGGTTACCTCAAAACGACAGAAGGAAAACACTGGAGTCGCCGACAACGTCATCAACTGACCCATTGAAAATGAAAAAGGAATCAAATGGGTTGAGCGTAAAAATACCCATATTTCCTCAGCTGTGATAATGCATTTGTGCTCTATCGACGAGCATGGTGACGTCGTCCACTACAATCATTTGGCAACCAGTCTCTTTGCAACGGCACGCAACAATTATAGTGTTACTACAGTATATGGACCGTTACACGACTGCTAAGTCAACTTCGAATGCTTGGTGGTTTCTTGGCCACATGAAGCAGTTATCACAACATGTTACAGTGCAACTGAATTCTACTGACCGCAACTCAGGCACAGACTTATCACCATTCGCTATACTACTCTGCAGAGTTTGAGTTGGAGCATCACATGTCCCAATACTTCATCGTGGTATACCTGCTACCTGCACTCGAACAGACTCACGAGTGTGTGGACTAAAGTACAGAGGAGTTGCTGTTCAAGCACAACTTTGTTGGCTTGAGTTTCTCTGACTACTTTGAGCCTCACAACCTTCAGTGTTTGCTGGAAAATTGAGCGCTTTCAGTGTCTACCCAGTTTTGAGGGGGGAAGTGTGAGAGGATGAGGCTTGCCGAATCGTTTCGCACATCCATTTTCATATTTGCTATCGATTGTGTATTATTTTGTATGTCTTTTTTCCCTTGAAAATCCCTACACTCTTTCCTACACATTGATATATTACATATCACATGTGTTACGGAGTGTTTTGGACTTTCATTGCGTAATACATTTTTTATTGCGTGGAGTTGAGTGTTCCGTCACCGCCACCGTATCTCTCAAATCCCTACCGTGCTTCTAGATGGTGTTTCTATCGACGATTCCACTCACCTTTAAAACTCTCTTAGAAGGTGTAATTTACCTTTTTCTAGAATTCTCGTAGGTATAAATCTATGTTGGAAAATACGCGTACTGCGTTTTATATGCTAGCGTATATACGCTTGCGTATATACGCTATACGCTTGGATTTGGGGTCCAATACGGCAGGAATACGCATGCCCGGGCAGGAAAAAAGGTTTGCCCGGGCAGGGTAACAAAACCAGGGGGCAGCAAGGAAGCCATGATGGTAGCGGCTAGGCTAGGGTTTCTGAAAACGTGACTCTCAAATGAGAGGCATTTTCTGAGGGGTCGAATTTTGACCTGCCAATTCCCTCCCTTTCACCGCACTCAACCCCCCCGTCTACAAAGTCAAATTGGCTTCCAGCCAACCAACTCCCTCCCTTTCACCGCACTGAACTCCCACCCATCTACAAACTCCAATCTTTCCTCACAAATGCTCGACTCTCCCCCCCATCATCTCCCCCATCACTTTGGTAGAAGACTAACAAGCACCGTAACTCGCGCAATCGCCGCCACCTAGCTAAGCACACCACCGTTTCGCTTCAGAGCTGAGATTTGGACGGAAATGGGGAACGGCAAACACGGGATGGCTTTCAATCACGTACAGAGCAGGCTGGGCTATGGGCAAAAAAGAATTGGCGAAAAAACCGCGACGTCGCGAAGTCGCGGAAAAAAAAAATATAAGTTTTTTTTTTCGCCGGGCAGCCCGGGTATCGCGTATCGCGTATTCCAAGCGTATCAGCGTATTGCGTATATTCGCAAGCGTATATACGCAATACGCAAAGCCTTCTGTGCGTATATTCCAACATAGGTATAAATATGATTGTGTCCTTGCTTGTATTCAGACAATTATAAATCAAGCATTCATTCAAGCTTTCGCTAAAACCTGGACCTATGACAACTGTGAACAGCCACTCCTTCACCCATAACATTGCTGTTGTGCTCAGTTCGACCATCATCAATGACCACTGCCTCTCTTCTGCCATTGTCTTTGCTCAACCCCCCGAGCGCCGAGCCCGCTCGCTGTGGAGACAAACCTGCCCCAATCCCCCCTCTTCCAAATGTGGGGCGTTCCACGCGCTCCTTTGCCGTGCTGTTCCTCGTTTAAGGCTGAGCTATATGTTGCGACCATGGCTGCCCAGAAGGCCCGCTTGCTCTATGTTGCAAGCTTGGGGAGCCGTAACCCTATCCCACCATTTGCTGTGACAACACGAGCACCATCCACCTCACTTCACCAAGGGTACATTCCTTCCATGGCCGTTCAAAGAACACTGAACTGTCTGTCCGCGAGCTTGTGCAATAGGGCCATGCCATCTTGTGGTCCACGAAATCACCACAACTGATAACCTGGCCGACAACTTCACCAAAGACGCTCCCTTCCTCTGTGAGCACGCTGCCTTTCTTCCCTATCTGGGTTCCCACACTTCCCCGTGTCCAACCTCCTGGTTCGGAAACTGCTTCGCTTCATGCACCCTTCCACCGTGCCGCCTACCAAACCATGTTTGGTTGGGTTCCAACTCAACCTACTTGGTTGAGTATAACTTTACAAAATTGGATGGTGGCCAACTAGCCTTCTACTTGTACTTTTCCCCCGTACAACTTCTAGAACTAGTAGGTAAAATAAACGAACTGTACACACGTTGCAACCACACGTGATGTGCATGTGTCTTGTATTTGCAAGGTGCATGTTGTTGTTGAGGATCTTGGCTGCCATCACTCCCATTCCTTCCCTCGCTCTTTGTGCTCCTCTCCCTCCTGCTCTTCCTTTTCTCCATTATGTTTCAGCGCCCTCTAGCCTCCGCCTTCACCAGCTCCCATTCCTCCTCCCCCTCCTCCTGGCTCCTTGACTCTGGCGCTTCATCCCATCTATGCACTAATCCACATCTGTTCTCTTCCCTCCACCGGCCGTCCCCTGGTAGTGGCGTTAGATTTGGCGGCGGTGAACAGTATCTTGCCCAAGGCATTGGTGATATCATCCTCTATGCTCGTCACGAGAACCATACGCATCCTGTTACCCTCCACGATGTCCTCTATATTCCTCAAACCATTCACAACATCATCTCCGTACGCAAGCTAAAGGAAGAGGGTCTCACCACCCACTTTCCCCTTCATGCTCCAGCCCAACTGTTCAAGGGGTCCACCCTTCTTGCTGTTGCCTACGAGGATATGAAGTTGTTCTTCATTTCTCTCAGTCTCAGCCCTGCTGCCTTAACCCCGCAAGCTCCGGCTTCTACTGTGTCGACCCCGTTTCCACTTGTTCCAGCATCGTGCTCTGCTGCCGCTACTCTCCTTTGGCATCGCCGCTTTGGGCATCTCAACGGCCCCAGCTTGCAGCAACTTCACTCTGAACGGATGGTCAGCGGTCTCCAACTCCAGGGTTCCCTCCCTTCCAATTGCACTTCGTGCCTTCGTGGGAAGCAGACTCGCCAACCGTTCCCACCTTCCATCTCCTCCTCCTCTGCCCCGCTTGACCTCGTTCACACGGATGTCGCTGGCCCCTTTCCCATTGGCACCACCTTTGGCGGCGCCACCTATATCCTCACCTTCATTGACGACTTCAGCCGCTTTACCACCATCTACCTCCTTAAATCGCGCTCTGCCGTCCTCTCCACCTTTCAGCGCTATCTCGCTACTGTTGAACGCCAACGTAACACGCGCCTCAAGGCGTTGCAATCAGATGGTGCCCCGGAGTATCTTTCTACAGCTTTTCAGACCTTCCTCGATTCGCATGGCATCACACGGCGGGTTTCAGCCCCATATACTCTGCAGCAGAATGGCGTCGCGGAGCGGCTGAACCGCACCATCCTGGACATGGTGCGGTGCATGCTACATGACAGCGGCCTTCCTCGTGGTTGGTGGGGAGAAGCAGCCCTCACCGCTGCCTACATTCGGAATCACTCTCCCTCCCGTTCGCTCCCTCGTACCGTCACCCCTATGGAGCTGTGGACGGGTCAGCGGCCGGATGTCACGCACTTTCGCGTGTTTGGCTGCCCCGTTTCTGTGCTTCTACCTTCTCTTCAGCGGCCTTCTAAATTACATGACCGTAGCACCGCGGGCGTCTTCCTTAGCTATGGAGTCCTTGACGGTTACAAAGCGTATCGCATTTACGTCCCTTCCCTTCGCCGCGTGGTCTACTCCTGCGATGTCACTTTCCTTGAAACATCCCCTTCACCACCTCCTTCTCCACAACCGTCACCACCCCCACCCTCCGCCCCCACTCCCACCACCATATCTTTTCCCCTTCACCCGTCTTCCCAGCCTACCACTTCCATCACCCCTGCCACCTTGCACCCGCCTCCTCCACCTCCCGGAGCTATCTCACCCACTTCCACTCCCGCTGCATCTCCCTTCCCTGCCCTCCCCACCCCACCCCTTCAGCCTTACACGCTTCCATCCTTCCTCCAGCCCGCCTCTCCACCTTCTTCCTCACCCCTTCCCTTTCCTTATCTTCCATCACCAGACACCCAAGACTTTCACCTCACCTTTCCCGATCCTTCCTCTCGAACCATCCTTGCTGAAGATCGCGCGTCCACCCATTTCCTTCACGATTTTGCACACATAGCCCTTCATTCCCACTACGAGCCCGCTACCATCATAGCCGAGCCGCCCGTTATTGCCCTGCTGCTCCCCACTGGCTAGCCGCTGCTGATGCCGAAATCGCTGCTCTCCTCGCCAACAACACTTACAGCATTGTGCCCACGCCACCCGGCTGCACCCCCATACCTTGCAAGTGGGTGTTCAAGGTCAAAGAAAACCCCGATGGGTCCATTGAGCGTTATAAGGCTCGCTTGGTGGTCAAAGGCTTCAAGCAACGTGAAGGCATCGACTACACAGAGACTTTTGCACCTACCATTCGCTTTGCCACGCTCCGCTTGCTCCTCACCCTTGCTGCCGCTCTTGATCTTGAGATGCATCAGCTCGACATCTCCAATGCCTTTCTCAACGGCGATCTTGACGAGCTCATCTACATGACTCAACCCCCCGGCTTTGAGCTCACTGCTCCTGATGGCTCTCCTCAAGTTTGTTTGCTGCACAAGCCCCTATATGGCCTCAAACAAGCGCCCCGCTGCTGGTACAAAAAGCTGAAAGAGGAGCTCCTCTCCTTTGGCCTTCACACCTCCGACGCCGACCCTGGCCTCTTCATTGCCGCCTCCTCTTCACCTCTCCTCCCTCATCCATCCCACTTCTTCTTCGTCCTTGTCTACGTGGACGACCTCATCATCCTATCTACCACTCTTGCACCCCTTACCACCTTCAAGACGTCTCTGGCCAGTCGCTTTAAACTCCGTGACCTCGGCCCCCTCACCTATTACCTCGGCCTCCACCTAGACCGCGACCGCTCTTCCCGCACTCTCCATGCCCACCAGTCCAAATTTATTGCTGCGCTCCTATCCACCTATTCGCTCTCCCATTCCAACCCCAGCCATACCCCCATGGACTCTAAGCTCCTCCTCCCTTCCCACCCCTCTTCACCGCCATCTCAAACCGTCCCATATCCCTCCTTGGTTGGCTCTCTCATGTACGCCATGGTCGCTACTCGTCCTGACATCGCCCACTCCACTGGCCTTCTCTCCCGTCACCTCCACTCATGGTCCGACCCTCATTGGCTGGCTGCCAAACGTGTTCTCCGCTACCTCAAGGGAACATCTTCCCATGGTTTACTGCTTGGTGGCAATCCCTCCTCCCTCCACCTCCTCGGCTACTGTGATGCTTCATGGGCCTCCGAAAGTGAGGATCGCCGTTCCCTCACGGCCTATCTCTTTTTTCTTGGTCCTTCCCTCATCTCCTGGCAATCCAAGAGGCAATGTGTGGTGGCCACGTCCTCCTGTGAGGCCGAATACTATGCGCTTGGTGCGGCAGCCCATGAAGCTCTTTGGCTCCGCACTCTCCTCACCTCCCTTGGACTTCCCCCCACTGGTCCCACCCCTTTGATCTGTGACAACACAAGTGCCATTGTCTTGGCCAAGGACGCTGGTGTCTTCCATGCCCGTGCCAAGCACATTGACATCCGCCATCATTTCCTCCGTGATCACGTTGACAAGGGCCATATCTCACTGCACTATGTCCCTACTCATGCCAACCTTGCTGATCTCGGTACCAAGCCTCTTTCCCGTGACACTTTTCAGCGTCTCCGGTCCTGCATTGGCCTACGCCCTGCCTCTTCTTCCCAAGACTCTCCCTTGGTGTCACCCTAAGGGGGGGTGTTGTTGAGGATCTGTTTTAGGCTTTTATCTGGGATGTAGTCAACTTAGTACATTTCTCTGTTATGTGTAATGTGTTACATTATATTAGGTGTAGACATTAGTGGTTGGGTCATATTAGAAATAGGGTGCCCCCCAAGTGATTTTATCAGAGGCTAGGCACCCCAAAATCCGAATTGGGGTACCTCACCACGCATCCCAACATTTGGGACGCGACTCCAACCTGGACCCACGTTTCTCAACCATGAAAACGCGGTTCCAGCTTGTGGAACCACGAATCCAACTTGTGGAATCGCGGTTCCACTAGTGGGGGCGCTTCCAGGCCCACTTTGAGGGTTCCTCACGTCCCCACCTTGACTATGGGCGACTTGAGCACCCAATTGGGCACCCCAAGCCTCTTGGGTGCCATTCTCCTCACCTGGACCAGCCCAAGTCGCCCAGCACTTCTCCATCTCTCTCTTCTTCACAATCTGGGCCTACTTAGCCTAATGTCTTTGTCATCTTTATTTACTTTTTTGTCTTACACTTTCTAGGGCTCCTCTTGGAACCTATCTTTACCATCTCCAACTTGTGCATCTTACAGCTATGCACATCAAGTCTACTTTTCTACACATGTGTCTTATGTTTGCAAGCTTATAATTGAAGCCATATCAGGATACAATAAAAGATAAACCAAAATGTGTCACACAGGTACAAACACGGCACACTCACCCGTTGCAAGATGGTGGAGGGAGATTTGATCCGATGGCCTTCGTCGCAGATCAGCACATCTGTTTACTCAACAATAATCCCCCCCACCCCACCTCACTCCACACCCACCCACCACCGTCCACCCGCGCTTGCTTACCCGATGCGAGATGGTGGAGGGCGACTTGATCCGATGGCCCTCGTCGCAGATAAGCACATCCGTTTCCTCAACAATAATCCGCCGCACCTCACCCCTCACCCACCCGCCGTCCTCCCGTCCCTGCGACAACACAACCCCTCTCCTCTGTCCCCCGGCTGCCTTCTGTGCCCCTGTCCTCAAATGCTCGAACCTCTTCTCAATCACGCCCTCCAAGAACCTGTAAGTCGCAATCAGCACGCCCCCCTTAACGGCCCACGCCCTGGCGAGCCGCTCAGCCTCCCTGAGCCCACCGCCGCCCTCGATGACCTTGAGGCTGGGGATGTGCGTGCGGTGCTGCTGAGGGATCCACTTGGGGAACTCGCCCCACCATGTGTCCACGATCGATAGCTCCGTCACGATAAGTATGCGCGCGGCACTGCCACTCGCGCAGGAGGACCCACTTGCTTTCGCACTTGCGCTTGCTGCACTCCCACTCGTGCTTGTGCGGTTGAGACGGTGGAGGGAGAAGAGCTTCTCGATGAATGCGATTGTGGTCAGAGTCTTGCCCGTCCCCGGGGCATGCGCCAAAATGCACCCTCCTGGCTCGTTCCGCTCTGGCTTTGCCCCCCCTCCACATCCGCTCCCCCCTCCCTCTCTCCCTCCTCCCCCTCCCCCTCCCCCAGCCACGAGGTGGTGCCAGATGAACCGAAACGCCGCGATCTGGTGGCTCTGCATCTTGCACCGGAGGAAATCCGACGGCCAGCAGTCGTGCGTCACTCCAACCTCCATCTCCCCCAGCTGCTGCTGCCGCCGCTGCTGCTCCCGTGCCCGCTGCTTCTCCCGCCGCTGCTGCTCCCTCTGCTGCTGCGCTGTCTGTGCCCGCTGCTGCTCCTCCTGGCGCAACTCTGCCAGGGCCGCTTCCATGGCCCGCCGGCCCTGCAGCGCCTGCAGCTGCATGAGGCTCATTTGGGGGCGGGCGACAGTGATTACGCAGCCTGGGGACGGGCGGTTAAGGGCCTGGAGGCAAATGGGAGAAAAACGGGAGAGGAATGGAAGACAAACGGGAGGGAAACGGGAGAGTTGAAAAGGAGGGAGTGAGTAGCCTGCTACCGCTGCTGCTCCTCCTGGTGAAATGGCTGCTTTCATGGCCTACCGGCCCTGCAGCCCCTGCAACTGCAGGAGATTCATCTGGGGGCGCCTGATGCTGATGACCGTGCCTGGGACGGGCGGTTAGGGGCCTGCAGGGGGGGGGGAGGTGAGCAGCCGGGAGGCAAACGGGAGGAAAATGGGAGAGGATTGGGAGAGAAATGGGAGAGGATTGGGAGAGAAATGGGAGAAAAGGAAGGAAAAACAGAGTTAAGACGAGCAAGTGTTGATCCTACTCCTCCATTCTACGAGCAAGTGTTGATCCTACTCCTCCATTCTACGAGCAAGTGTTGATCCTACTCCTCCATTCTACGAGCAAGTGTTGATCCTACTCCTCCATTCTACGAGCAAGTGTTGATCCTACTCCTCCATTCTACGAGCAAGTGTTGATCCTACTCCTCCATTCTACGAGCAAGTGTTGATCCTACTCCTCCATTCTACGAGCAAGTGTTGATCCTACTCCTCCATTCTACGAGCAAGTGTTGATCCTACTCCTCCATTCTACGAGCAAGTGTTGATCCTACTCCTCCATTCTACGAGCAAGTGTTGATCCTACTCCTCCATTCTACGAGCAAGTGTTGATCCTACTCCTCCATTCTACGAGCAAGTGTTGATCCTACTCCTCCATTCTACGAGCAAGTGTTGATCCTACTCCTCCATTCTACGAGCAAGTGTTGATCCTACTCCTCCATTCTACGAGCAAGTGTTGATCCTACTCCTCCATTCTACGAGCAAGTGTTGATCCTACTCCTCCATTCTACGAGCAAGTGTTGATCCTACTCCTCCATTCTACGAGCAAGTGTTGATCCTACTCCTCCATTCTACGAGCAAGTGTTGATCCTACTCCTCCATTCTACGAGCAAGTGTTGATCCTACTCCTCCATTCTACGAGCAAGTGTTGATCCTACTCCTCCATTCTACGAGCAAGTGTTGATCCTACTCCTCCATTCTACGAGCAAGTGTTGATCCTACTCCTCCATTCTACGAGCCATGACATCAGCCACCGGTTTGAGCAGCACTTGCCACTGACAGCAATCACCAGTGCGCACTCCTCAGCACCAGGCCGTGTGAGAAACTCAAGTGATGATTGTATTAGGAAAAGCGTGGGTATACATAGGTGAGGAGTAGGAGGGAGGGGGGGGTTTTGGTTGGGAGGTGACCACGATTATTGGTGACCCCAATAAGTTGAGTTGGCCAACTTATTGGGGGTCCAATGATCCTAGCCAAGATTATTGGTGGGTCCAATAATCTTGGTTGGGATTATTGGGGGTTCCAATAATTGGGAGCCCAACCAATTTGGGAACCCAACAAGGTTGGGAACCCAACCCCCAACTTGGGTGTATACACCCTAGTAGGGTGCTTATAAGTACCTAAGACAATGAAACGATGTAGGCTAATAGAATGAAGGGAGAATATTCTAACAGGCCGCACAAGGCATGAGCGCAAGCCCCACAAGGCATGAGCGCAAGCCCCACAAGGCATGAGCGCAAGCCCCACAAGGCATGAGCGCAAGCCCCACAAGGCATGAGCGCAAGCCCCACAAGGCATGAGCGCAAGCCCCACAAGGCATGAGCGCAAGCCGCACAAGGCATGAGCGCAAGCCACAGACAAGACCAACTCACCAGGGACAGCTCGTGCGCGCTCCTGAGCACGAGGCCGCACTTGGCGCAGACTTCCCCCTCCATCGCATCCTCCTCCACCTCATGCCGCCCCCTGTCGTATCGGCACACGCCATTCCTGATCACATCGTATGCCCCTATGTTGTTGTTACCCATGCCATTACCCATGCCTCCTCTTCCCATACCACCTGGCCCTCCATAGACCGGAGGTGCCCTGCCATGCGCACGAGCACCATGGGCCGACTGCCGCTCCTCTCCTTCTGAACCCTCCTCGTCACTGTCCTCGCAAGAGCTACCACTGTCGCCATTGCTACTGTCCTCACTATCACCATCTCCATCATTATCCGCACTTGTATCACCAACAGCACCATTATCACCACCACCACCAGAACCTCCCCCGCTTCGCCCATCAGTGGTCCCAAGTCCATTGCGCTTGGCGTGGGCCAGCCACATGTTGACCACATAGCCGGGCACCGCGCCCTTTGCTCCCAGCAGCTGCTGCCTCTCCTTCGCCAATGCCTCCTCTCTCCTGGCTCTTTTCCCATTGCGCCGTTGCTGCTGCTGTTGCACGCGTCTCTGTAGCTGCTGCTGCTGACTGTACTTTTCTAGCTGCTGCGGCTGTTCTGCTGCACTTGCTTCTGGGGGACAGGGTGGGGTGAGAGGAGCAGCAGGGGAAGCAGCAGGAGCAGGAGAGCAGGGGTTGGGAGCAGCAGCTACAGCAGCAGCAGCAGCAGCAGCAGCAGCAGCAGCAGCAGCAGCAGCTGCAGCAGGGAAGGAGGCAACAGGAAGGGAAGGAGAGGGAGAAGCAGGGGCGGAGGCGGAAGGAGGAGTGCAGGTGGAAGCGGAGGGAGGAACGGGATCAACAGGAAGAGAGGCGACAGGAAGAGAGGGGGAGGGAGCAGCAGGCGTAGTGGGGGAGGGAGGAACAGCACGAGAGGAGGAGGGAGAACCGGGGAGAGTTGGGTCCGACAGGGAGGCCTTATGGCAGGAGGTGCCAGAAACGAGGGGTGTGGTTGGCGGGAAGGAGGAGAGGGAAGGTGGAGAAGGCTGCCAGAGAACTGTGGCTGGTGAGGACGTGCAGCGTGGGGAGGAGGGAGAGTGTGATGAGGAGGAAGGTGGTGAGGAGGAGGGTGGTGAGGAGGTGGGGGGTGAGGAGGAGGGTGGTGAGGAGGTGGGGGGTGAGGAGGAGGGTGGTGAGGAGGTGGGGGTGAGGAGGAGGGGGGTGGGGAGGAGGAGGGCGGTGAGGAGGTGGGGGGTGGGGAAGATGCGGGCTGCAAGGGAGAGGAGGACGTGTGTAAGGTAGGTGTGGGGGGCAGAGCGGAGACAGAGGCAGAGACAGAGGCTTGTAGGCGAGGAGAAGCACAGAGCGGAGCAGGCGTGAGAAGCACGTCTATGGCTTGAGTTTCCCTCCCTTGCCACGCCTCACCACCTCCATCACTCCTGTCTCCTGTCAACCCATTCTCCCCTGTGTCCACACCATTCCTCTCCCCTTCATTAATCCCCCCCCCATTCTCCCCCCTCCCCTTCGATGACACCCGCTCCCGTTCACTATCCTCCAACCCATTCTCGCCCCTCTCACTCTGCGGCTCCTGCCCCTCGTGCCTCCCCTGCTCCAGTGCATCCCTCTTCCTCTTTCTCGCCCCTTCCTCCTCCCAGTGCGGTCTTGCTCCCCCCCCCGTCCTCCCTTGCCCCACTCCTTTCTCCCATTCACCCACGCCACACTCCACTGCACTCGCACAGTGAACTACTGCAACTTGCTTTTGAACAGCCTCAGCTTCCCCCCCCCCTTCACCCACGCCACACTCTCCCAGAGGCTCCACGGCACTCCCACGGCGGACCCCATCTTGCTCACTACACATGCGCTCTTCTGTGCTGCTGCAATGGCCAACATCCACTGCTCTCCCTTCCCTACCCCCCTCCTTTCCCACCTCCTCCGCCCGCCTTCTCACCTCCTCCTCTCTCACCTCCTCCTCTCTCACCTCCTCCTCTCTCACCTCCTCCCTTCCCAACACACCTCTCTCACCCTCCCTCACTGCCTCTCCATCTTCCCCTCCCTCGACTCCAACAGTCACACCCTTAGCCCTCTTCCTTGCACGCTCCCCTGCCAGCACTCCCCCCTCCTCTTCCCTCTCCCCCAATGTCTCTCCATCTTCCCCTCCCTCAACCCCATTCCCCGCGCTCCTTGCCCTCTTCCTTGCACGCTCCCCTGCCACCACTCCCCCTTCTTCCTCCCTACCTGTCCTCTTGCCCAGGCTCCATTCTTCATCCTCCACTTCCCCACCAGCCGGTCCCTCTTCCTTTTTTCTCTCCTCCTGCATTTCTAGTCCTACCTCCTTTCCCTCCCTTTCCTCCTCTTCTTCCTCTTCGACCACCTCCACCCCTTGCTCCTCATAAGCATTCTCCGGTTCCTCCTGCCCTTCCACCACTCTCATCTCTTCGTCATCTCCCTCCTTCTCCAGCATTTGCCCCCTTTCCCCCATTTCCTCCCTTTCCTCCTTTTCTGCCTCATCCTCATTGTCGTCTTCTTGCCCCACCTTTCCAGTTATCTCTTGGCCCTTCGCTCTTTTCCTCTCCACTCCCTCCTGGATTCCCCTTTCCTCCTTCCTTGCTTCCTCCTTCCTTGCTTCCTCCTTCCTTGCTTCCTCCTTCCTTGCTTCCTCCTTCCTTGCTTCCTCCTCCTCCATCTCCTTCTCCTCGCCCTCCTCGCCACCCTTTCTCTCCTCCCTTCTCTCCTCCCTTCTCTCCTCTCTTCTCTCCTCCCTTCTCTCCTCCCTTCTCTCCTCCCTTCTCTCCTCCCGTCTCTCCTCCCTTCTGTCCGCCTTCCTTCGTTCCCACTCCTCCTCCTCACCCCCCTCCCTCTCCAACTCCTCCTCACTATCCTCTAGTTCTATCACCTCCACCTCACCCCGTTCCCTGACCTCCCCCTCCTCTCCCTTCTCCCCTTCCCCACTCAATTTCCACAAACCTCTCGCTCCTCCTGACCCGCTCACCCAGTGTGACCCTTGCATCCCTCTTGAGCCTGCTTGCCCTCTTAACCCTCCTAGTCCTCCTCCTAGTCCTCCTCCTATTCCTCCTCCTACACTTCCTCCCCATGCTCCTCGCAGTGCTCTCGCTTGGCCATCCACATTCCTCCTTATCCAATCTCGAGCCTCCTCCTCACTGCATTCTGACTCCCACCCATTCTCCCTACCCCCAACACCTCTTCCTCTCTCATCAACCCTCATCTCCCCATCCTCCTCATCATCCCCAATATCATTCCCAATCTCCCCTCCTCCCCCGTTCCCCCCTATCTCCCCTCCCCCGTTCCCCCCTATTTCCCCTCCCCCATTTCTCCCTATTTCCCCTCCCTTAATGCTCCCTATCTCCCCTCCGCCAATTCTCCCTATTCCCCCGCCCTCATCATTCCCCCCATCCTCCCCATCCTCCTCCCCATCCTCTCGGACTTCCCCTTCCTCTAATTCTGATTCCTCCTCCTCCCCACCACACTCTCTCCCTTGGACCATCTCATCTCCCTCACCGCCTCTTCTTTCCTCATCTCCTTGTGTACTTCTCTCTCCCTGCCCCTCTCCTCCCCTCACTCTACTGCCCCTGCTCACACCACACCTCTCACTCTCTCCATCTCCACTTATCTTTTCACTATAGCCCTTGCTGATATCATCCTCGTTATTATCACACTCTTTGTTGTCCTCCTCATCAGTATCGTATAGCACAATTACTTCCACTTGCCTCCCCTTCTCCTCCTCCTGCTCCTCCTCCTCCTTCACCTCCTCCTTCTCCTCCTCCTCCTCCTCCTTCTCCTCCTCCCTCACTTTCCTCTCCTCCTCTTCCTCCCCTCCTGCGCCAACCTCCTCTCCCTGCCCCTGCCCCTTCCCCTCCTCGCCTTTCTCTCGCACCGCCCCATACACCCTTCCCATTCCACTCCTTCCCTCCTCTCCCTCCTCTTCCTCCTCTCCCTCCTCCCCCTCCTCTTCCTCCTCTCCCTCCTCCCCCTCCTCTTCCTCCTCTCCCTCCTCCCCCTTCTCTGCATCCTCTCCCTTCTCCTCATCATCCTTCTTCTCCTCCATAACCTTCTCCGCATTCTCTCCCTCTCCTCCCAAGCGTTCACACTTCCCTCCAGGCCTGCCCTCCCCCTCCCCTCCTCCCTCCCCCACCCCCAAACTCCCCCCCTCCGCTCGAACCTCCTCCCCCTCATCATCTGACAGCGATATCACCTCAACATCCATGGCTATGCCAACGAACCCTATCCCATGCACCTCACAGCCCACGGTGCTTGGAGCCTCAAAAGCAGCCTCCCCAGAGGGTGCCTCACAAGGCCTCCGACCATCCCTCTCAATCCTTCCGCTCGCCCTCTCCGTGTCACCCTCACCGCCTCGCCTCTGGTGCCCTGTCATGCGCTGGCTGCACCCACCACCATCCCCTTCCCCTGCTTCCATCGCCTCACAAGGCCGCTGACCGCCCCTCTCAATGTTTCCACTCGCCCTCCCTATGTCACCCTTGCCGCCTCCCCTCTGGGGCCCTATCAAGCCCTCTCCGCAACCAAGATCATCCCCTTCCTCCCTTGCTTCATCCTCCCTTTCTTCCATCACCTCGCAAGGCTCCTGGCAATCCCTCTCAAACTTCCCACTCGCCCTCCCTATGTCACCCTCACCACCTCCCCTCTGGTGCCCTGTCATGCGCTGGCGGCAGCAATCATCATCCCCTTCCCCTTCCATCATCTTTCTACCATCCCTTTCCTCAACCTCCTCCCCTTCCTCCACCTCCTCCCCTTCCTCAACCTCCTCCCCTTCCTCCACCTCCTCCCCTTCCTCCACCTCTTCCCCTTCCTCCCTCACCTCCCCTTCCTCCCTCACCTCCCCTTCCTCCCTCACCTCCCCTTCCTCGACTTCCTCCCCCTCCTCGCTCTCCTCCTCTCCTACCACTTCCCCTTCCTCCACCTCTATCCCCTCACTCCACACTCTCAGCCTCACAACATCTACCTCCCTACACTCTCCCTCCCCTCCTTCCGCCCTCACCTCCCCTCCCACCCCTTGTCTCCCCATCCCTCTCACCTCGCCATCTCCTGAGCCCAAACCCTCAACTTCTCTCCTAGTGCTCTCACTTCCGGACCATTGGTCCATAGGGTCTTCTCTTACTCCCACCACAACATCCCTAACATCATCATCAGCAGCATCATCAGCATCGTCATCGCCACCACTACTAGCGTCAACAGCAGCACCAGCAACAGCAGTAGCAGCATCACCAGCACAAGCATCACCAGCAGCACCAGCACCAGCACAACCAGCACGGCCAGCGACACCACCAGCACCCGCATCACCAGCACCACCAGCACCCGCACCACCAGCACCACCATCATCACCATCACCAGCACCACCATCATCAGCATCACCAGCACCACCATCATCAGCATCACCAGCACCACCATCATCAGCATCACTATCAATATCTGAAAGATCAATCACCACCCTCTGCTGGCACTCTCCCTCTCCAGTGCTTTGCACACGTCGCCCCTCCACTCCCCTCCCACGCTGCCTTCCCTTCTCCAGTCCCTTCCTCTGCTCCCCACCGTCCTCCCTCTTCCCCCTGCCCTCTTGCCCCCCCTCGTGCCGCCCCACACCCTGCATCCCCCCGTGCTGCTCAGTTGCCCGCGTCGGAGTTGACTCAGAAGCATATCCCTGCCGCTGCACTCGCTCCTGCATCATCTGCAACTGCCCTCGCCCCTCTCCCCCCCCTTGCTCCCTCCTTTCTGCCCCCACTTCCGTCCCTTGCATTCTCCGTTCTGCCCACTCTTCCTCCCCTTGCTTTCTCCCTTCTGATCCCTGCTCCTGCCCTTTCTCCCATATCCCTGCCCCCTTGCCCACCACCTCCTGCTCCTTCCCTTCCCACTGCTCCTGTTGCTCCTCTCCTCCAAAATCCAACGCTTGTTCCCCCTGCTGCTGCGTCTGCCCCTGTGTCTTCATAACACTAGGGGTAGCCACAGGGGAGCGGTGAGGCGAACTTGCAGGGAGTTGGGTGGGGGGAGAGGGTTGAGTGGGAGGAGAGACTTGGTTGTGGGGAGCGGGTTGGGTGGGGGGAGAGGGTTGACTGGCATCTGAGTCTTGGTTGAGGGGAGAGGGTTGGTTGGGAGGAGAGGGTTGGATGGGGGGAGAGGGCTGGGTGGGGGGAGAGAGCTGGGTAGGGGGAGAGGGCTGGGTGGGGGGAGAGGGTTGGGTGGGAAGCTGCAGATGGCTGAAAGAGTGCGCCAGAGAGGGCAGAACGCTTGGCTGCGCAGCAGCAGCAGTTACCACTGCTGTGAGTATGCAAGGCAGAACCTGGCTGAGACCTTGCAGCAGTGCACTAGCCTGCTCCTCACCCACGCCACCAGCAGTGGCACCACCAGCAGTCGCACCGCCAGCACTCATGCCACTGGCATGCTGAGTCACGCAGCTGGCCTGCTGATTTGTACTGTTGCCATGCTCAGTCAGATTGTTGACCTGCTGAGTCATGCCAGTGGCCCGCTGAGTCGTGCTGACAGGGCCCAGGATGGTGCGGAGCAGCCGAAAGATATCATCCATGGCAAGAGGGCTGAGAGCAGCGGGAGGGCTGAGAGCAGCGGGAGGGCTGAGAGCAGCGGGAGGGCTGAGAGCAGCGGGAGGGTTGAGAACAGCGGGAGGGTTGAGAGCAGCGGGAGGGTTGAGAGCAGCGGGAGGGTTGAGAGCAGCGGGAGGGTTGAGAGCAGCGGGAGGGTTGAGAGCAGCGGGAGAGTTGAGAGCGGAAGGTGGAGTGGGGGGGGGAGGAGTGGGAGCAAGGAGGGGGGACGGAGGGGGGGAGGATGGTGGGAGGGGGGGTGGTGGAATGGTGGATGAACGGGGGGAGGATGGAGGGACGGTGGATGCAAGAGGAGCAGTTGAGCTGCCTCTGCATGCGCCCTGTACACTTGCATCCACATGTGGCATGCTATGGTGCTGCTGCTGAGAGGTGATAGTGCGGGATGTGGGATTCGGGATTGCAGGGGCAGTGGCAGATGAGCTTCCTGTCTGTTCGCCCTGTGCGTCTGCCCCCACATGTGGCGTGCTATGGTGCTGCTGAGAGGAGACAGGCGGAAGCGTGGGAGCAGGAGGCGTGACAGTAGCAGGCGTGACAGTAGGAGGTGTGGCAGTAGGCGGTGTGACAGGCGTGACAGTAGGAGATGTGACAGTAGGAGGTGTGACAGTAGGAGGCGTGACAGTAGGAGGCGTGGCAGTAGGAGGTGTGGCAGTAGGAGGAGTAGCAGCAGCAGGTGATGCAGCAGTTCGTGCGACAGCATTAGAGGGTGAAGCATCAAACAGCAGCTTCGGAGGGGCATGCCTGCACACCCGATGGCCTCTCGCCCTGCGCAATTGCCCCCATAGCCCCGCTATCCGTTCCTCTACTCTCGCTTCCACTCCTTCCCGTTTCCCCGTCCTCCACTCCTCTCCTCTCCCTTCCTCCAACCGTTTCCTGCTCCTCAAGAAATGCTGCGGCCTTTCCTGCACCTCAACCTTCCACCACTCAACGTCCTCTCCACCATCCCCCCGATATCCTCCCTCCCCACCCCGTGCACAACCCTCCTTCTTCCCATCTTGCCCACAACCCTCTCTCCCATTCTCTCCATTTTCTTTCTCCCCACCCTCCCCATCACCTCCTCTCATCGTCTCAGCATCAGAGCTACGATTGTAACCCTCCAACTCAGCATCCCTTGCACCATCCCCCGTCTCACTGTCTCGCCCAAAATCCACTCCCTTCCTCTCCCTTACGAAATGTCTCTCCTCACTCCCCGCACCACCTCCCCTCATCGTCCCAGCGTCAGAGCTACGATTGTAACCGTCCAACGCAGCACTTCCAACCTCCCTTGGACGGGCTCCTTCCCTCTCCCAACCTCCTCCGCCTGCACCCCCGTCACCCCATTCCCCTTCCTCCTCCGCTCCCCCATGCACCTCCACCTCCACCTCCAAAACATCGTCATCATCCCCCCCCCTACCCTCCTTACTCTCTCTGTCTCCCTCCCCCCACTGGCTTTCCTTGTCGTCCTCCTTCTCCTCCTCTTTCTCCTCTCTCTCCTCTTTCTTCTCCTCCTCTTCCTCCTCTCTCTCGCCTTCCTGCAGACCCAACTGTACCTCCACTACCTCATCATCCTCCTCCGCCTCCTCTTCCGCTTTATTCTCCTCCTCTCCCTTGACCATCTCCTCACTCTCAACCGCCCTCCCGTCATCTCCTTCCCCGCCAGCTATTCCTAGAGAGCGAAAGTGTTGCGTGACATTGTAACGAGGTGACTTTTGAGTCGACTCAAAAGTCACCCCTCCAGCTATTCCTAGAGAGCCAAGCTGATGGGCAACAGCAACGCTAGGGGATTGCGAGCTGGCTTCAGCAGTATTGTCGTCACCACTGCAGCTACCACCACCACTGGTACCACCACCACCACCACCACCACCACCACCATCCGCAGCACCAGCAATAGCATCAACCCTGTCAGCGCCAACAGCACCACAACACTGCGAGCTACACCCACCGTCATTATCATGTGCACAACCACAACCACTGGTGTTTACGCCAGTCCCACTGCCAGCAGCAATAACATCAACCCTGTCTGCACTAGCACAATCACAACACTGCGAGCTACACCCGACATCATTATCATGTGCACTAGCCCCACAACCACTGGTGTTCACATCGGCCCCACAACGGTTGCCGCTTGCGAATGAGGGCAGAGGGGCAGGACGCACAGGAGGCAGGGGGAAGGAACAGCGTTCATCGATCGATGGGGGGACCAAAGAGCCTCCATTGATCGAAGGGGAAACAGAAGAGCCTCCATCGATAGGCGGGGGAAAAGAAGAGCCTCCAGCGGTAAGTGCGAAGAGCGCAGCATCAGCAGCACCAGTAGTGCCAGCAGAACCAGCAGTGCCAGCAGCACCAGTAGTGCCAGGAATCCCGGGAGGAGGGGGGGGAAGGGAGCAGCTTGCATCGTTGGATGGGGGAGCATCGTTGGATGGGGGAGCATCGTTGGATGGGGGAGCATCGTTGGATGGGGGAGCATCGTTAGATGGGGGAGCATGAGGTGAATAAGGAGCGCTTGCACCTCCTCCAATGCCAGGCGCGAAGAGCGCACCATCACCATCAGCAGCAGCAGCCGGATTGTTGCTGTGGCTGCCATCTGCTGCCCTAACCGGCCCCTGCTCTCCATCGTTCCCATTGCCATACATGCCATTCCAGTACCTGCCATGCCCTCCCATGTCCTCCCCTCCCATGCCATCTTCGCCCACACCATCCCCTCCCATGCTGTAACCAGCGGGAGCACCATCGTCCTCCGCACCGGCAAACCCAGCAGCACCACCATCAAAACCATCAGCAGCATCAAAGCCACCAGCACCATCAAAGCCATCAGCAGCATCAAAGCCATCAGCAGCATCAAAACCATCCGCAGCATCAGCACCATCAAAAGCAGCACCGCCGGCAGGAGAAGTCATAACAACCCCCTGCCAGGAAAAGGCTGCATCCACACGCCAGTCCTCCCACCCCCACCCATCCACCACCACCCCCTCATCCCCCACGCTCTTTCCCCCCAGCCTAGGCCACCTTGCCACCCTATCTAGCGGGTACGCCTGTCCGATAGATGCCAGGTGATTCTCTAGCAGCTCGGGGAGGGGGTAGAGGGGGTTGACGCGCACGCAGAGAGCGGAGAGGGAGCAGCGGATCAAGGTCCACCTGAGTGTGCTGTCTCTGCCGTCGTCCGCCACGTAGCAGGTGGGGCTATCACCCGGACCATCCTCCTCCTCGCTGCTACCACTGCCGTTGCTGCTGCCATCGCTATTGTCAGTGCTGGTATCGCCGCTGGCACTGCTGCAGTCTTCACTGTCACTGTCACTGTCGCTGCTATTGCCGCTGCTGTCATCAGCATGGGACGATGCCCCAGATGCTTCTGCCTCTGCCTCTGCCACTGCCGCTGCTGCTCCTTCTGCTGCTGGTGCAGCAGCAAGGGGAGAGGAGGCGAGCGGGGGAGCGGCGGGAGGGGCATGGGCGGGATAGGCGGGAGGGGCATGCGAGGGAGCGGCGGGAGGGGCATGGGCGGGGGGCCAGGCGACGTGGTGGTGGAAGAGGCGGATGTAGAAGGTGCACGTGCAGCGCTTGTGGGCCTTGTGGCTCTTCCTCTCGATGTGAATAACCCTGGCGTCGTAATGGGCCTGGAGGGAGGGCGAGAAGGGGAAGTGCCGGGGGAAGGAGGAAGGGACGAGGCGGGTGAAGGAAGGCACGTGCAGCGGGGCCGCCTGCCTGCCACCGAGGGGAACGTGATGAGGCTTTCTTCGGACGCCACCACACCACCCTGGCGTGGCGTCTTAGTGCACATGGAGAGAGAGAGGAGAGGGGAGGGGAGGCGAGGGAAGGGACGGGGAGGGGAGGAGAGGGGAGGGGAGGGGAGGGGAAAGAGGAGACGTGGAAGGGTGAAGGAGGAGCAGGTGCCGTGGGGCCGCTTGCCCCCGGGAGAGACTTGATGGAGCTTGCGCTGAACATCACCCTGGCATCTGGACGTGCATGAATATCACCCTGGCATCTGGACGTGCGTGAGCATCACGCCACACCCATGCTTCACCTTATACCAGCACCACCGCACTCCCTCCCACCTTGTCCCACTCATATAAGTCCGTCCTCGCTCTGAGTCCTTGATTTTGCAGGGTGTTTTTGAGAATTCTCAAAAACTCCATGCTCTGAGTCCTTGATTTTGCAGGGTGTTTTTGAGAATTCTCAAAAACTCCATGCTCTGAGTCCTTGATTTTGCAGGGTGTTTTTGAGAATTCTCAAAAACTCCATGCTCTGAGTCCTTGATTTTGCAGGGTGTTTTTGAGAATTCTCAAAAACTCCATGCTCTGAGTCCTTGATTTTGCAGGGTGTTTTTGAGAATTCTCAAAAACTCCATGCTCTGAGTCCTTGATTTTGCAGGGTGTTTTTGAGAATTCTCAAAAACTCCATGCTCTGAGTCCTTGATTTTGCAGGGTGTTTTTGAGAATTCTCAAAAACTCCATGCTCTGAGTCCTTGATTTTGCAGGGTGTTTTTGAGAATTCTCAAAAACTCCATGCTCTGAGTCCTTGATTTTGCAGGGTGTTTTTGAGAATTCTCAAAAACTCCATGCTCTGAGTCCTTGATTTTGCAGGGTGTTTTTGAGAATTCTCAAAAACTCCATGCTCTGAGTCCTTGATTTTGCAGGGTGTTTTTGAGAATTCTCAAAAACTCCATGCTCTGAGTCCTTGATTTTGCAGGGTGTTTTTGAGAATTCTCAAAAACTCCATGCTCTGAGTCCTTGATTTTGCAGGGTGTTTTTGAGAATTCTCAAAAACTCCATGCTCTGAGTCCTTGATTTTGCAGGGTGTTTTTGAGAATTCTCAAAAACTCCATGCTCTGAGTCCTTGATTTTGCAGGGTGTTTTTGAGAATTCTCAAAAACTCCATGCTCTGAGTCCTTGATTTTGCAGGGTGTTTTTGAGAATTCTCAAAAACTCCATGCTCTGAGTCCTTGATTTTGCAGGGTGTTTTTGAGAATTCTCAAAAACTCCATGCTCTGAGTCCTTGATTTTGCAGGGTGTTTTTGAGAATTCTCAAAAACTCCATGCTCTGAGTCCTTGATTTTGCAGGGTGTTTTTGAGAATTCTCAAAAACTCCATGCTCTGAGTCCTTGATTTTGCAGGGTGTTTTTGAGAATTCTCAAAAACTCCATGCTCTGAGTCCTTGATTTTGCAGGGTGTTTTTGAGAATTCTCAAAAACTCCATGCTCTGAGTCCTTGATTTTGCAGGGTGTTTTTGAGAATTCTCAAAAACTCCATGCTCTGAGTCCTTGATTTTGCAGGGTGTTTTTGAGAATTCTCAAAAACTCCATGCTCTGAGTCCTTGATTTTGCAGGGTGTTTTTGAGAATTCTCAAAAACTCCATGCTCTGAGTCCTTGATTTTGCAGGGTGTTTTTGAGAATTCTCAAAAACTCCATGCTCTGAGTCCTTGATTTTGCAGGGTGTTTTTGAGAATTCTCAAAAACTCCATGCTCTGAGTCCTTGATTTTGCAGGGTGTTTTTGAGAATTCTCAAAAACTCCATGCTCTGAGTCCTTGATTTTGCAGGGTGTTTTTGAGAATTCTCAAAAACTCCATGCTCTGAGTCCTTGATTTTGCAGGGTGTTTTTGAGAATTCTCAAAAACTCCATGCTCTGAGTCCTTGATTTTGCAGGGTGTTTTTGAGAATTCTCAAAAACTCCATGCTCTGAGTCCTTGATTTTGCAGGGTGTTTTTGAGAATTCTCAAAAACTCCATGCTCTGAGTCCTTGATTTTGCAGGGTGTTTTTGAGAATTCTCAAAAACTCCATGCTCTGAGTCCTTGATTTTGCAGGGTGTTTTTGAGAATTCTCAAAAACTCCATGCTCTGAGTCCTTGATTTTGCAGGGTGTTTTTGAGAATTCTCAAAAACTCCATGCTCTGAGTCCTTGATTTTGCAGGGTGTTTTTGAGAATTCTCAAAAACTCCATGCTCTGAGTCCTTGATTTTGCAGGGTGTTTTTGAGAATTCTCAAAAACTCCATGCTCTGAGTCCTTGATTTTGCAGGGTGTTTTTGAGAATTCTCAAAAACTCCATGCTCTGAGTCCTTGATTTTGCAGGGTGTTTTTGAGAATTCTCAAAAACTCCATGCTCTGAGTCCTTGATTTTGCAGGGTGTTTTTGAGAATTCTCAAAAACTCCATGCTCTGAGTCCTTGATTTTGCAGGGTGTTTTTGAGAATTCTCAAAAACTCCATGCTCTGAGTCCTTGATTTTGCAGGGTGTTTTTGAGAATTCTCAAAAACTCCATGCTCTGAGTCCTTGATTTTGCAGGGTGTTTTTGAGAATTCTCAAAAACTCCATGCTCTGAGTCCTTGATTTTGCAGGGTGTTTTTGAGAATTCTCAAAAACTCCATGCTCTGAGTCCTTGATTTTGCAGGGTGTTTTTGAGAATTCTCAAAAACTCCATGCTCTGAGTCCTTGATTTTGCAGGGTGTTTTTGAGAATTCTCAAAAACTCCATGCTCTGAGTCCTTGATTTTGCAGGGTGTTTTTGAGAATTCTAAAAAACTCCATGCTCTGAGTCCTTGATTTTGCAGGGTGTTTTTGAGAATTCTCAAAAACTCCATGCTCTGAGTCCTTGATTTTGCAGGGTGTTTTTGAGAATTCTAAAAAACTCCATGCTCTGAGTCCTTGATTTTGCAGGGTGTTTTTGAGAATTCTCAAAAACTCCATGCTCTGAGTCCTTGATTTTGCAGGGTGTTTTTGAGAATTCTAAAAAACTCCATGCTCTGAGTCCTTGATTTTGCAGGGTGTTTTTGAGAATTCTCAAAAACTCCATGCTCTGAGTCCTTGATTTTGCAGGGTGTTTTTGAGAATTCTAAAAAACTCCATGCTCTGAGTCCTTGATTTTGCAGGGTGTTTTTGAGAATTCTAAAAAACTCCATGCTCTGAGTCCTTGATTTTGCAGGGTGTTTTTGAGAATTCTCAAAAACTCCATGCTCTGAGTCCTTGATTTTGCAGGGTGTTTTTGAGAATTCTCAAAAACTCCATGCTCTGAGTCCTTGATTTTGCAGGGTGTTTTTGAGAATTCTAAAAAACTCCATGCTCTGAGTCCTTGATTTTGCAGGGTGTTTTTGAGAATTCTCAAAAACTCCATGCTCTGAGTCCTTGATTTTGCAGGGTGTTTTTGAGAATTCTCAAAAACTCCATGCTCTGAGTCGCCTAAATCAGATCCGCACCTCGGCCTCGACGCTCGGGTCCCCCTCAGGGTGCTTGACGAACGCCACGACCAGCATGCCCTTCTTCACCCGCTTGCACTCGCCCGGATTCAGCTTGCGCGAGCGCAGGCGCAGCCTCCGCCCCACCACGTCCTCGTCCTCGCCATCGAACTTGGGGTACGCCACCCGGTACAGCTGCAACCCCGGGTTTGACTCCCTGTGCTCCGGCCCTAGGCTCAAATCTCCTTGCTGCTGCTGCAGGCCCCCTTGCTGGAGGAGGCTCCCTTGCGGCAGGCCTCCCTGCTGCAGCCCCACCACGTCCTCGTCCTCGCCTTCGAACCGCGGGTACGCCACCTGGTACTGCTGCAAACCTGGGTTCAAGTCTTCCCTGTGCTCCAGCCGCCGGTTAAATCCTACCCCGTGCTGCAAGCCCGGGTTGAAATCATCGTAATGGAAACTGGGGCTCAGCTCTTCAAGCTGCAACCCCGGGCTCAGATCCGGGTTCAGTTCGGGGTTCAGTTCGGGGTTCAGATCTGGGTTCAAATCGGGGTTCAAATCAGGGTTCAAATCGGGGTTCAAATCAAGGTTCAAGTCGGGGTTCAAATCGGGGTTCGAATCCTCATGGTGATACGTGGAATCATGAGGCAGGCTGAGTGGGTCGTCTGCTGCTGGTGAAGGGAAACGCTGACCCTGACAGTCGTCTGGAGGGCCCAAGGGCAGAAGGGCAGACGGGTGTTGTTGCCGCAGGACATCCAACCCGCTCATGGCACGGGCATGGGGTGAGGTGCCGTCAGTGGGGCCGTGCTCATGGTGTGAAAGCCCGCCATGGTCCCACCCATGCTGCTGCGGACTGTGCCCCGGCTGTGCTTGCCTCTCATCATCATCACCCACTCCATGCCCACATCCCTCAACCCCTTGCTCCGCCCCCTCCTGGCCCCCCCTCTCTCCGGCCCCCCGCCCACGTCCGTGCCTCCCCATCTGCTCGACTCCTCCAGTCAACACCCCTGCAACTCCCAGCTCTCCCGCCTCTCCCCCCCCTTCCCCTGGGCCCAGCACACGCACGTCCCACAGGCTGCCACGGTGAAAGCACTCAAACACTGCAGCAGGAGTGGGGGAGAGGAGGGGGGAAGAGGAGGGGGGGAGAGGAGGGGAGGAGAGGAGGGGCAGCATTGGGGCAAGTGGAGAGGTGCCTCAAGCATCACCTCTGCTCTGATACCGCCCTTCCCCCCTTCCATTGGGCCCAACACACGCAGATCCCACAGGCTGCCGTGGTGGAAGCACTCAGTCACTCATTGCAGTTCAGCAGGGGGGAGGAGGGGGGTGTTTGAGGGGGGGAGAGAGGAGGGGGGTGTTTGAGGGGGGGAGAGAGGAGGGGCAGCATAAAGGTGGGTCGTGACTCGTGAGGTGACTCAAGCATCACCGCTGCTCTGGAACGGCTACCTCTTCTCCTGGGCCCAGCACACGCACGTCCCACAGGCTGCCGCGGCGAGAGCACTCAAACACTGCAGCAAGTGGGGAGAGGTGGGGAAAGGGGGGGAAGGGGGGGGGGGGGGGGGGGGGGGGGGGGGGGACATAGGGGCAAGTCGTGAGGTGACTCACACGACACATCTGCTTCGATACGGCTGCCGCGTCCCCTCTGCCGTTTCCCCAGCACATGCACCTCCCACAGGCTGTCGCAGTGGAAGCACTCGAACACTGCAGCAAGGGGGGGAGGGAGGGGGGGAGGGAGGGGGGGAGGGAGGAACCGTACAGGAGGGGGGAGAGACGTCTGCAGTGCCAACACGCACCTGGACGGACTCCAGCCGTTGCCAGGTTCACCTGAGCAACCTGAGCAGCAAAAATCACCTGGCCTGTCGTCGGCATTCCGTGGCACCAGCGCGTTGGCCGTGTCAGCGGCCCCCCCATTCTTCCTCCTCTTTCCTCCCGCCCCCTCCTTCCCCTTCTTCCCCTTGCCACTTTCCCTCGCCTCCTCATTTCCCCTCCCCCTATTCTGTCCCATCGTCTGCCCTCCGCCTCGCTCCGTCCCTCTACATTTACTCCTAGTGCCCATGCCCGTACTCCTGCTCTCCGCCTCGTTCCCCTGGTTCTCTGCGCCCTTTTCCTTCCCCTTCCCCCCTGCCCCCCGAGTATCTCGTTCCGTGGCAGAACGTAACGGGCGTCCCCTAGCCATTTACTGTCGTTCATGGAAAAGAGCTAAGTTTTTTGTTTAGTCGACTCAAGAATCACATACTGCTAGCCGTGTGCTGTAGCTCATGGACAAGAACGAATTTCAGACCAGAGAGCGAATCAGAAACCTCGCAGATTTATTTTTTTAATGTGAGGCGAAACAAACGGCGTGATGATGCGGACGCGGCATGCCACCGGAGTGAAGGTTACAGGGATAAGGAGGGAGCGCTACTACAGTATTAGAACGCAGCCACAGCAATAAGCGAATCTACAGTGTTACAATGTTAGAAGCCAGCTATAGTACTGAAAGGCAGATACTATATAAGGGAGTTGGAGCATTTAGTGGCTGCTGCGAAATCGAGAGGAAGTTACCCACTGTCAGGGGGTGCGTCCTGCAAATGTGTTTTGGTTCGACTGAAAACCCATCAAGCGGGATGCTACACTGTCAGCGGGTGCATGCTACAGCGCAGCGGAGAGAAACGACCACTGGGCCTCACCGTAACACGCTCGTACGGGCTAATGAAACGGCAGAACGACACTGATGAGAGATAAGGACGCGTGGTAAGGGCGAGCGACACGGGCTAATCACGGTGCGGGCAACCGCTGACGCGAGAGCCTGAAACGACCAGGAGACTATTGACAGTCTAAAACGAGAGCCTAAAATGAATGCATTCTTTAGAAAGAATAATACGGTGGCATCGAGGCGGCAGCATACAAGAATGAGCGAAGCGTCGCTGTCTAAACGCACGCACCGAGAGATGTCTGGAATGTTGCGAGAAACAGGAGTGAGGAAGACGCTAGTGAATCCTACGCGGGTAATCCAAGGGGGCTGAAGCCAGAGGAGCAAATGGTACTCGGTACTAGCATGTTTTGACTACCGATACACGGCCCGCAAAATACACGAAGAACGAATTCCTGAAACACCCGTATGAACGAGCAACGCCTGGATGTGGTGGGTTGCTGCGACCACCCCCAGAAGTGAATCGAAGCTGACATAGGCGGAACAGTCACGCGGGCGTGGCCTCATGCTGCTGTGGGGCTGGAGGGATGCTGGTTCTGTGCAATCGCTAGTGCTACAAAAGGGAGGCTGTTTTTTTTTTATAGGTAAATTTCTCGGCGCTTCTAGAATTCCGACTGATGGTAGACAGACAGGGATGAATCCCCACCTGATCAGGCTAAGTTGCAATTTTATGTGATTTCCCACAGTAACAGCACGATTTGCAGCGCTTGGCGGTTCTCCAACTCCGTTTCGGATACTCACACAGGTCCCAGAGCTGGTCAACTTGTAGGGTCCACTGCCAAACACTCCCATTCAGAGCGTCTGTATTTTACAACCCGGGGATTTTCTGGAGATGTCTAAAAGGTGACCCTGATTGGCAGGGGTGGTAGGACTCCAGGGCGCGAAAGTGAGCCCGCAACCGAAAAAGTTCACTCTCGAACCAAGAAAACATCAAAGCATCCCTGCCAGCCAATCACAGGCGCCCACACCTCATCCCCGAGATTGGGTCTGGGAATTTGGAATCCCGTGGTGGCAGCATCCCTGTGGTGAATTTCTGTACTGTACTGTAGTACTGTGTTTTGTGCGGACAACCTCCTCGCATTGACACCGGGTAACATACGAAGTAGAAGGCTGCGAGAGCGAGTCAGGTTACTTAGTGTCGCCATGTGCGCGACAACTACGAACTATCTGCAGCTGGCGAAGCACGCTTCGCATCACAGGTAATACCTTCCCAACCTCTTACAGAAGGAACAGTCAGTGCTGCACTGGCTTGGCTTCCTGCCTGCCTCTTCCACACAAACCCTAATCAGACTAATCCTAGATTCTCCTACAGGCGTGATCAGCGTAAGCTTCGATTTACTTTAGGGCGACGTCCAATGGCGTCGGACCCGGCCCCGTCGGCGGACAAGTGGATGAACTTCCTGACGGAGGCGAATCTCGATGACGACAACTTCGCGCCCGGCGTGCTGCTGCCGTCGCAGCCTGCGTTAGAGCAGGTTGCGTGCAGGTACTCCAGTCTAGGTGCTAGGTTTCTAAGCGAGTTCCTCCACGCGTAGAGTCTGCATTAGTACGGCGATTGGGATTTCCAACTGCTTCTCGTCGTCACATCCTGTAGCTTCCTTGAAACGCGCGAAGCTAGGACTGCTGTGTGAGACCATCGCTCGATCTCCATCGTTCCACTCGACGCGCTTCATCAGCCTTTTCAGTGTCATCTTACACGATTCTTCAGTCTTTAAGTATCGTCGTCCGCAATTCTTCAGCCTATCGATATCGCCTTACGCTAGTTTCCGTCCTTTCAGTGTCGGGTTGTACACACTACTTTCTCATTCCTTCAGTGCCGTCTTTCACGGTTCATCAGCCTTCCAGCGCCGCTCCCCTCCCCTCACCCTGTCTGCCGTGCACCGCGTGCAGCGCCGAGGGTGGCGGCGGGAACACGGAGGAATGCGACAAGACGGGGTCCAGCAGCCGGAAGAGGTGAGGGGGGAGGAAGGAGGGTGGGCGGAAGGGGGGGAGGATGTGGGGGGGTGGGGAGGAGGAGGGAAGGGAGGTTGGGAGGGGAGGTGGGGGGGAGGGAGTTTGGGAGGGGAGGTGGGGGGAAGGGATGGTACGGAGGGGGGACAGGAAGAGCAGGAAGCAGGGGAGCAACGATGGCCAATGGTAGCCGATGGTGCGCCGTCGCATGTCATCTCTTTTCCTAGATTCTGGCAGCACTTCCCGCGCTGCCACACAGTACCGTTGTCGTTTCCGCGTGTCACGACGCGGCCGAGTGCGCGACCACCGCCTGATGGTTTCTTCCGCCCAACGCTTTTCCCCTCGCTGCATTTCCCCATGGCGCACTCCCCCGTGGCGCATTCCCCCATGGCTGGTCGAGTCCGCGTGGCAGGTCGCGCGACGAGTGTGCGACCACTGCTGACGTGTCGTGCAGCAAGGCCAACCGGGAGAAAATGAGACGCGACCGCCTCAACGACAGGTGAGAGAGCCACGGGCAGGCGAGGGGTGTCAGGTGGGTGACTCGGTGGCAGGCGAGGGGCGTCAGGTGGGTGACTCAGTGGCAGGCGAGGGGCGTCAGGTGGGTGACTCAGTGGCAGGCAGGTGGTCGCTTCAAAGGCAGGAGGGAGGTGCCTCTTGAGTCGTGACATAATAAGGGCCAACCGGGAGAGGATGAGACGCGACCTCCTCAGCGACAGGTGCGAGCGGCGTGAGGTGGTCGACTTGATGGCAGGGGAGGGGCGTCAGGTAGTGACTCAGTGGTAGGTGCTCGCTTGATACTTGGAGCAGGGCCAACCGGGAGAAGATGAGACGCCACTGGCTCGATGGCAGGAGAGAGGCGAGAGTTGATTGACTCAGTGGCAGGTGCTTGTGATTGCAAGGTATGGAGTGAAAGTGATGCGACCACTGCTGACGTGTTGTGCAGCACGGCCAACTGCGATGAGACGGCGTCGCCTCAATGGCAGGCACGTGAGTGAGGGTGGCGTTGGCAGGTGAGGGGTGTACAGTACGGTAATTCAAAAGCAATTGCACTGTATCAGACGAATGTAGCAGCGGTCACTCCCCCTCACTCGTTCCGTGCTGCGTGCCATCTTCCCTGCAGTTCACAATTCTTCTCACTCACGCTCGTTTTTGTCTATTCATCCCAGCAACCCTTCATCATTCTTTCTCTGCAGGTCTCTGGATCTGAGCCGGTCGCTGGAGCCCGGGAAGGCGCCCAAGTCGGACAAGGCGAGCACTCTGTGTTGTTGAGGCGCCTCAAGGTGTGAAGCATAACTCTCTCACCTGAAAGCACGGTTCCATGTCCCACCAAATGCGCGCATCTCACCCCTCCCCCAGGTTTTTGGAGCTGAGCCGGTCGTTGGAGCCAGGGATGGCGCCCAAGTCGGACCATCCCTGGTCCATTCTGGTCGGACAAGGCAAGCATTCCTGCGTGAGGCGCCTTACAGCACCAAGCATTGTTCCCCGAACTCAACTCACTGTTCCGCGGTCCCATCAACTGCTGCTCCCATCCCATCCCCCCCAACAGGTTTCTGGAGCTCAGTAGGTCGCTGGAGCCAGGGAAGGCGCCCAAGTCTGACAAGGCGAGCATTCTGTGCGACGCCGTGCGGGTGCTGAACCAGCTAAGGGCCGAGAGAGAAGCGCTCAAGGAGTCAAACATTCAGCTCCAGGAGCAGATAAAGGAGCTCAAGGTGAGAGAGCGAGTGTGAGCTCAAGGAGCACTCTGTGCGACGCTGTGGCGGTGTGGGTGCTGAGCCAGCCAGCTGCGGGCAGAAAGAGAGGCGCTCAAGGAGTCAAACATTCAGCTCCAGGAGCAGATAAAGGAGCTCAAGGTGAGAGAGCGAGTGTGAGCTCAAGGAGCACTCTGTGCAACGCTGTGGCGGTGTGGGTGCTGAGCCAGCCAGCTGCGGGCAGAAAGAGAGGCGCTCAAGGAGTCAAACATTCAGCTGCAGGAGCAGATAAGCGAGCTCAAGGTGAGAGTGGTGTGGGGTTTGGGGGGGGCGTGCGTGCGGGTGCTGAGCCAGCTGAGGGCGAGGGAGGCGCTGAAGGAGTCCAATGTGCAGCGCAGCTGCAGGAGCAGATCAAGGAGCTCAAGGTGAGCGCCATGTGCCATGTGGTAAGGCAGGCAATGAGGCCCTCGAACTAGCAGCGAGAGGCGCTGAAGGAGTCCAATGTGCAGCGCAGCTGCAGGAGCAGATCAAGGAGCTCAAGGTGAGCGCCATGTGCCATGTGGTAAGGCAGGCAATGAGGCCCTCGAACTAGCAGCGAGAGGCGCTGAAGGAGTCCAATGTGCAGCGCAGCTGCAGGAGCAGATCAAGGAGCTCAAGGTGAGCGCCATGTGCCATGTGGTAAGGCAGGCAATGAGGCCCTCGAACTAGCAGTGAGAGGCGCTGAAGGAGTCCAATGTGCACAAGGTGCACATCAAGAGGAGGCGCTGAAGGAGTCTAATGTGCAGCTGCAGGAGCAGATCAAGGAGCTCAAGGTGAGGGATGGAGGCGAGGGGATTCCAGGGGAGAGCGGTGTGTGTGGCGCTGTGAGAGGGCTCCTGCTGGTGAGGGAGTGGAGGGCGGAGAGGGAGGCTCTTGAAGAGTCTAATGTGCAGCTGCTGGAGCAGGTCAAGGAGGTCAAGGAGGTCAAGGTGAGAGAGTGGGGTGTGCGTGCGTGATGCAGCCAGGGGGGCATTCTGTGCGACGCTGTACGGGTGCTGATCAAGCTCAGGGCGGAGAGGGGGGCGCTGAAGGAGGGGGAGGCGCTGAGGGGGAGCAACGGGCAGCTGCGGGAGCCAATCAACGGCCAAATATGCTAGGGGTGGTTTGGCTTCCAGCGAATGGCGGCAAATCTGCATGTGTTGGCAACTTGGGGCGTGTCATATAGCTTTCGACATGGGCTGATCGGTCTTTTTTGGGCGCAAAGAACATCGTCAGGTTTTGTCGACGCACTATTCTGAAAACACATGTCTCGCCTCATCTCGCTACTGTTGGTTATCTCTCCATCTCTCTCCCCTCTCTCCCTTATGTCGTTCTCCCCCCACTCCCCCTCTCTCCCATCTCTCCCCTCCTCTCTCCCGTCCCCCTCTCTCTCCCATCTCTCTCCCCCTCTCTCCCATCTCTCCCCTCCTCTCTCCCATCCCCCTCTCTCTCCCATCTCTCTCCCCCTCTCTCCCATCTCTCTCCCCCTCTCTCCCATCTCTCTCCCCCTCTCTCACCACCTCTCTCTCCTGTGTCTCGTTCAGGCTGAGAAGCACGAGCTTCGGGAGGAGAAGGCCCGGCTCAAGTCAGAGAGTGAAAAGCTGCAGCAGCAGGTGCAGGGCTCAGCAGCAGCAGCGGCTACCCCCACCCACGCCACCCACGCCACCCACACCGCCACTCCCACCGCCGCCATCCCTGTCCCCACCATGCCGCTCCACCACTCCCCCCCCACCGCGCCCCCCACCCCCATGGCGTACCAGCCTCACCCCCACGCCGCTGCCATGCAGGCTGCAGCCGCCGCGTATGCCGCCCAGATGCAGCACTGCCAGATGGCCCTAGGGACGCCCAAGGGGGCGCACATGGGGGGCATGCCCGCTCCCATGCCCTCTCCCATGTCTGCTCCCATGCCCTCTCCCATGCCTGCTGGCATGCCTGGTGGCATGCCTGGTAGCATGCCTGGTAGCATGCCTGCTGCTGTGTCCCATGCTGTTGCTCAGCCGGCTCAGTTTGCTGCTGGGCCGCCCATGGCCATGTGGCAGTGGATGGCGCCTACCTCGGTTGACACCTCGCAGGACCACATGCTCAGGCCGCCTGTTGCCTAGAAGGTTACAACCTGCCTCAGGGTAACTCCTGCCTTGGATGACACCTAGCGGGACCACACCACATCCTCAAGGCTGTCAGTTGCCTCAGATAACACCTTCCCTGGTTACACTCTGCAAAGCCGCATTCTCAGTTGGCGTCTCTCAGTTAAACCTTGAATAATTGCATGCACAGGCTGGATGTCTGCGTGAAGGGATGGTTTGGTGTGGCTAATTTGTGGGTGGATGAGGGAAGGGCATGGGAAGAGTGAGCAGTGTGCTGAGTAATACCGTAATCCCCCGTATATAACACCCGCCGAAATAGTCACTCCGCGGGTGGTTTATGCGGGGGAGAGCTTATGATAGGGTGAATCTAGGAGAGCACCCGCTTTTCGGGGGTTGCATTTTACATAACACCCTCCTCGTTTTATGCAGCAAAGAACAATATTTCGTAGTTTTTCAAGCTCAGATCGATTGAGAAAAATAACGAACAGGATGAAAAAGGCAATGTCAACTACCATTAGTAGCGAAAAAACGGGCAGAAACATCAACACAAGTTGCAGCGCGAAATCGAAACGTCAGCAAAGGTCGAGACTCGGGAGGATTTCGACCGTCGAAGTCGCGGATTCTATTGTGATTTGACGGTCAGAATCCTCCCGAGCGAAATCCTCTGGTCGAAGTCGCGGATTCTGTCGCGATCATGACGGTCGCAGGTGCCGCACAAACCTGGCCCTGACCACAACACTCAGCATAGATTGGCCAACGACGATTGGCTTGTGAGTTTCGTCTTAGCGGATGCTGTACCTCGCTAACAGTCGCTCCGCGCATTTGTGAACACACATGGCCTGAAACACTCAAATTCAAATTGCATTTTACATAACACATGGGTACTATATTTTTCCGGGCCACTGTTAACACCCAGTCATTTTTTTAGTGAATTTTTATATACACCATAGGGTGTTATATACGGGGGATTACGGTATCAGGGAGGGCTGTTTTTGGACAACGTACATAGAGCTGGTCTCTTTCTTCAATTGTCATCTAAATGCAACGTCTAATATAACAGTGGTGCTTTTGGGGTTCGGCAATGTTGTTTGCAATGCTTGTCAGCTGTTGTACAGCTTTTGTTTAGCAAAAATAATGCAATACATTAATACGCATTGTGTAACATCATGCCAAATCAATACGGTACACTATATCTGCCAGAGTCCCTTGTGTTCTCGCCCATTCCTCCAGCTGGCAGCTTCTAGAGCAGTAGGCAATGCGGCACCCCACACATCGTCTGAAGCACCCTGGCCTCGCCTCCCTCCTCCCGCACTCCTCATTGCCACACGCTTGCGGTGCGCTCAGAAGCTGCTGCTGCTGCTGCTGCTGCTGGTGCTGTTGTTGCTGCTGGTTGGTTAAGGTTAGGGCCAACTGCTGCTGTTGCAACAGCAGATGGTGCAGGTGAGTTGTCGTCGTGGGCCAAGACGAATCTTGAGACTCACGCTGCAGGTCACACATCTCTCCTTCCCCATCCACCTCACCTTCCTCGCCATCTTTTTCTGCTGTGTGCCACACATGCAGCTGCATTTCCAGCAGATGCTGTATCTGTTGCACCTGCTGCACATGCTGCATCTGTTGCATCCGTTGCATCTGTTGCATTTGCTGCGTTTGCTGCAGCTTCGCCCGTGCCACCATCTCCTGCTCCTCTTGCCATCGCCGCAGGAAGGTGTGGATGGGATGGCGTGGCACGGGCAGCCACAGCTGCTGCGGCCGTGCTGCTGGTGGTGGGGTGGGTAATACTGCTGCTGCTGCTGCTTCTGCTGCCGCTGCCGCCGTCGTAGCTGTAGAGTTTTGTGGCACTTGCGCTGCTGCTACTGAGCTGGGCGGCAGTGCTGATTCGTGCATTGGTGTCGTTCTCGCTAGTAGTGCCTGAGCTTTCACCTGAGGCTTCGCATCATGTGAGTGTCTCAGTGCACACTCCCCAGCCCCACACAGCAACCTCCCCATCTCTTCTTGCTGCTGCCATGCCTCCTCCGGCTGCTGATGCTGCTGCTGCTGCTGCTTCCGCTGCTGCTGCTGCTCTCCCATATTGTTTTGCTGCAGTCTCCGATGCTGTTGCACTTGCGGCACTTGCTGCACTTGCACCACTTGATGCAGCTGCCTTTGCCGCACTTTCTGATGCTCCTGCGCTTGCTGCAGCTGCTGCAGCTGCAGGGCACTGGCGCGGGCGAGCAGCATGCGGGCCATGCGTTCGTTGCGGCGCACGCCCACCCCGTCCTGCACGCAATACGCCAGCTCCACCAGCGACGCCACGTGGCCCCGCTGCGCCGCCCTCAAGAGGAGCTGCAGCGCAACGCGGGTGGAAGGTGGTGCTAGCAAGGACGATGGTGATGATGGTGATGATGGTGATGATGGTGATGATGATGATGGTGATGATGGTGATGGCGATGATGGTGATGATGGTGATGATGGTGATGGCGATGATGGTGATGATGGTGATGATGGTGGTGACAATGATGACTGAGGGAGGTGCGACGGTGGCGACAACACACTAATGTTGTTGAAGCCATGGGCGGTGCCACTGATGCTGTTGCTGATGATGCGAGTGCTGCTGTTGCTGCTACCACTGGGAGTTCTCCTCCCAACACTTTGAAGACTGGTACTATCGGTAGAGATTGCGCTGTTGCTGCTGCTGCCACGGGCGGCGTTGTGGTGGTCGACCTGGTTACCAGTAACATGTGTCTGACCATTGCCGGTGCTGGCATGGGAACATCCCCTCTTGGGCATCTCATCGCCTCGGTTCAGATGGAAGATCGCCAGCGAGTGGAGTGCTGCCACATGTCCCTCCCTGGCTGCGCGAGTCAGGAGCGCCGAGCCCGTGTTAGGATCGTTGATACTGTTGGTGTAGATCTGGCCAGACACGGAGGAGAAACGAAATGTGGGTTTGGCTTGAGTCGGTATCAAATAGGAGTCTGAGTGTGAGTATAAACAAGAGGCATTTAAAAACAATGAAATAACAGGAGAGTAAGTACATGTAGAAACAGAAGGCGATATGTGTAGCAAGTCCCTGATTGATGGGTGCAAGAGTAGGGAATGGAGAGGAGAGGAGGGAAAGGGGGGTGGATGGGAGAATGGAGAGGGAGGGAGGGGCAGGGGGTGTAGAACATACCATGCCAAGAATAAACATGGCTTCTGCGTTCCCGGCAGCCGCGCAGCTTCGCAGAAAATGCAGATTGCAGTGGCTCCAGCTCTCAATGTGCGGCAGCAGCACCGAGGGAGGCAGGATGCGTAAAATCGCGGGTGACATGCCTATGTCGCAAAACTGGGAGCAACTGTAAGGGGCAAACGGATTAGAAGAAAATAACGAAATGGGACATTAGATAGACAGCATATGTAAAATAAATATGTATCGTCTCATAAACTAGGAGGAGATGCAACAGCCACTATAAGGAAATATACATTGAGGGACATGGTGCAGAACCACTGTTGTAACCTGGCTCTGTCTATGGCCTGCCATTTCGACTGTTTCACAAAAACGAGCGGCGGTTTTAGCGGGTACGGAACGGAGGGAACCATGAGGGCGGGGGAGGAAGCGTTTTATGGCGGAAGCATGAGTGGCGCTAGGAAACAGATCTGTGGTCGTTCGGATCTGGCACCCTGGTACGCGATGAACGGATGGGATGCGATCGGCGGATGCGATGAACGGATGGACACGCTTGCACGTCGAATACCGCTCATGAAGATACTAGGGCTGCTGACGAGAGCATCAAGAGAACCGCACCCTCAAGGGGGGCTTCGACGCGGAAGGCATTCGCAGCCTTCAGCCGTTTAGACTGCCGGCTGAAACTGAAGTTTCCCGACGGGCCTTTCGTCGATGATAATTATGCTGTAGTCGCGTAGTAGAGTGGCCGGCCGCAGCGATGCGACTTGGAAGGCGATAGCGCAAAGCCAATACTGGAGCTAAAAAGCGGCGCGTCGTGATCCGCTAACCACATTGTCAGCCATAGGAGAACGTGCGAAGACACCAGATCTGACGTTACGACACGTGGTGCGCAGTAGTGCATGATAGACCTCGCGCGTTGCTCAGCGGCTCGTCGAAGACACCCCTATTTTTCAATATCGCGAACTAGGGTTCCGATCTCCCACTATTCGTTACTTGTGAACCGTGTCGCGCATTAGTGCATCGTTCCTCGTGCATTGCGCGACGCCTCTTTGAAAAGTTCCTTTCGAACAGCCGCATTGCCGGGCGAGAGAGCACGTCGGCGTAAATCGAGGAGCGTGTCGGCGCGAGTCGTATATCGGAACAGACAGAAGCGGTTGACGACGTAAACGAGGAGCACGTCAGCGTGTTGGCGGATATCGTATATCGGGACAGACTGTAGCGGTTGACGGCGTGCACGAGGAGCGTATCGGCGTAACCGCGTATAGCGTGTATCGGGACAGACACTCTCCGTAACGGCGAATACGAAACATACACGAGACGCGTAACGGCGTAACGGCGCATATCGGGAGGGTAAGGATCGGTTCGAGACGTACACGAGGAGCGTGTCGGCGTATTGGCGTACATCGGGTATCGGGACCGACACTGTCGATTTATACCGGGAGTGACAGGGGGTGTTCGAGACGTACACGAGGAGCGTGTCGGCGTATTGGCGCGGCGAGCATGATGATGACTGCAGGCAGCGGCGCAGTACCGCCTCCACCAGCTCCGCCTGGCAGGCAAAGGAGGGCGAACAGGGAGGCGCAGAGAGGGGTGAAGTTGTGGGCGGGCGTGGCGGAGCACAAAGGGGGGGGGGGAGAGTGCAGGGAAGGGAGGAAGGGGGGAAGTAGAGGGGGGGAGAGAGCACTTCCGCGGCAGCAGCGCAGCACTGCCTGCACGAGCCCCACCTGCAGTGGGCGAGCAGCAGTGCCACTGACACCAGTGCCACTGACCAGTGGTCGCGGAGGACAGGGGAATCAGAGTGAGGGAGAAAGTAGGACAAGAGGAGAGGAGGGAGGAGAGAGGCAGCAGCGCCCGCCTCGCTACGGCGGCAGTAGCACTGCCTCCACCACCTCCACGTGCGGTGGGCGAGCCGGGGTTAGGAGGAACGGGGACAGCACGTGGCGAGGGCAGGACATGGACGGATTAAGTGAGGGGAGAGGGGAGAGAGGAGAGGGGAGAGGGGAGAGGGAGGTAGGAAAGGGGTGGAAGAGAGGTGGGGGGGGGGGGGGGGGGGGGGGGGGGAAGAGAGAAGGACGTGTGGGAGAGTGTTTTGAGTGTTCGAGTGCAAGTGACGGACGTTGTTGGAGAGAGGGGGAAAGAGGAGGGAGCTGGTGAGGGGCGAGCGGGTTGTGGGGCAGCCAGGGGCGACGAAGAGGAAGATTTGCAAATTCTGAGTGCATCATGCATGATGGCTGGAGTTGCCCCGGTTCGGTTTCCATGACTTACGGGGAGATCCGTGAATCTGGGCCGTCGGTTTCGGCACTTGGCCTCGTCATGTAATCGGCGATCCGTCATCTTCTCGTCCCGCTGTCTTCCCTCAGCACTCGCGTCCAACGACCCTCGTTTAACGACCCGCGTACAACGACCCGCGTTTAACGACACGCGGTTAACGACACGCGTGATCCCGCGTCGCAGTCGTTACTAGCGATGTCGATGTGCTGGCGCTGGTGCCGCAGCGAAGGGCTAGTAGAAGCAGGAGCAAGCAAGCGAGGCACAGCGGCAGGCCTTCGCAACGCGCCGATTCTATCGGTATGTGTCGTCGCGCAGTCTCAAAGCGACAGAAATAGCTTCGCAACGCGGTATGTGCAAGCAAGCTTTTGTCTCCCGCAAGCTTATGTCTCCCGCAAGCTTTTGTCTGCCGCAACCTTATGTATTGTGTCTAAGGAACCAGGACCACATGGTTGCGGGAGGGGACAGTCCAGCACGAGGGGAGGGGCGCCCGTTGTTGAGAGGAGAGGAGGACGCGGTGGATACTGATATGAAGCATGGGGAAACGTGACTAGGATCAAGGGCTGCTGCTGAGGTATCAGGCTGGGGAAAAGGTCTAGCAGGGGGGGGGGGTGTCTGTTGTTGCGCAGAGTGAAAAAGAAGCAGGGTAGACCCGCGAGCGACTCGGGAAGGGGAGAGAGGGAGGATGAAAAGATCAAGTAAAGCGCAAAAGCGCAAAAAGCGCGCACCGGTATCATTGTGAGGGGAGGGGAGAGCGAAAGGGAGGAGGGGGAGGCTGGGCCAGAGCACACGTGGTGGTTGGGGGCAACAACGACGCGCACGGGAAAAGTGGGTGGGCGGGTCCTTTCCTTTCTGCGAGGAGATGAGCAGCGACGCGGGAGCAGGTCACGGGAGTCACGGAACAACGTACACTCTACACCACACTCCTTCTGACAGTCAGGGAGGAAAGGATCAAAGAAAGGACATCTGATTGGCGCGTGTGAGCCGCGATGAGGGGAGGGATGAGGGAGGTCACTAGACAGGAGCACAGTCAGTCAGGAGGAGGACTCGGAGGCTGTCTTGACTGGACTCTGAAGGGGGCATCAATCACTCCCCTTCACCTTCCCCTTTCCCTTCCATTCGTTCCTTCCCTCCATCTGTTGTTGATGATGAGTCGAGTCGCGGACCAAGTTGATGATGACGGTGCGTTGCATTTGCAAGGTGAGGCAAACGGGCAATGCACAACGGACAGACCAGAATGACGAGGAGGACGCTGGTGAGGGGATGGCGGATTTCTGGACAGGAACACGACTTGCGCACGCGCTGTACTGTTGCAACAAGACATGCGGGGATGAGCGACGTCGCATGCGGTTGTGCTGCGATCTAGGCGCGTGCTCGCGGTCCGGACTAAGAAAGACGACACCGAACGAAGATGCGCCTTATGTCATGCTGGCTCTGCAAATCGTGATCCGAGCCACAGCTCAGCACAAGCTGCTGTGCTTGACTAGGGAGCAAAGCAGGACAACTCGGAGCGACGCAGAGCGGCATTTCGAAAGGCTACCAATTGAGGCCTTCCATGTTTCTTGCCTATCCTTTCTCAGCAATCCCGCTCGCTTGGGCTGCAGTGCAGAGGATCCAACAATCCAACGTCGGTGGGAGAGCAAAATGCTTCGACCACGCGGTTTGCACTCACACAGTGCACTGCAGCACTGAATGATTCTGTCGGTGAGTGGTGAGGGCGAACACTGCGAGCAGAGCTATGATGCAGTGACAAGGACGGGGAGGAAGGAGCCCCTGTGGTTTCTGGACTGCTGACGCAGGGGCACGACAGCGGGGACAGTTCATGATTGGACACACACTTCCGAGAGAGCAAACCGCGTTGGATAATGCGTTTATGTGGGGCATGAATATGCCTCGAGAGGAGAATCAAACAAGTACTTTACAAACTATTTCCGATTTTTCTCCCTACGCTGCTTAAAAGGGCCTTTTCCTTCAAGCTGTGAGGTCGGGGTGCGATGCTTTCGCGAAAAAGACATTTTGTTCGAACGTCTAGTTCGAATGATGCGGGTCTTCGCGACACTTGCCCCCTGTAAACTATTTTGTCGTCAATACCTTGCGAAGCTTTCTGTCAAGCAGATGAAATTAATCTCCCCCAAAAGTTCGAACAGATCTTACGAACTGGACGCAAAGCACTGCGCCGGAACACGGATTGCTGAAACTTTCTTGATCCGAACGAGGGAGGCGCATTTTCATCAGCGAGGCCTTGCTGCGGGTGCCTTCCACTGGTGAGTGTGTGTTGGCACCAGACCAGCCAATCGGAGGCTGGCGGGAAGGATGAAGTTGACGCCCACGCTGCAAAAGAATCCTGCCCCAACAGCAGCTCATGGAGTTGCAGCCAAAACTATGGGGTCTGAAGGCGTTGATTGGTTGAGTGTTAGCGGTATCCACTCGTAAGACCCACCCCACACTCACGGCATTTGTTTGACAGCTCCACTGGCCTCTGACGTGGAAACACGCTCCTTGTTCTGCTGTACACTCGATCGGGAGGCTGTGGACACTCCGCTGTTACGAATAAATCTAGCCCGCGGTAAAATCACACCCTGAAACTGGGCGGTACAAGAAATTTTGCTTCCACCCTGACCATTTCTGAGTGCGTAGACAGTACCCCCTTGTTCCTACGGCCTAAGCATGGCAGACTCCACGTGGGCAAAAACTTTGAGCACTGCCTAAGCTGACGTCGGGTTTCCTGACTCGAGAATCATTAAATCGAGTAGTAAGCGTTTCGTATAGAAATCCAAGTTCAAACGATTTTTCAAGGGTATTCGGATCTGGTCTTCATGAGCTACTTTCGGGGGGCAAATACCCTCTAGGCGGTACCCCGTATGAAAATACTGGGTAGGAAACTACCGCAGACTAGGTGTATTCCTTTCTGAAACAAGAATGCATATGGCATCTCTTTTGCTTCCTCAATTACATGAGGGCTGCTGGTGGCGAGGATCTCGAAACCCCTGAAGTCAAAACCTAAGGTTTTGAGCCCCAGCCAAAATACCTCCCAAATCAAAACCTCCCCTAAAGTCAAAACCTAAGGTTTTGAGCCCCAGCCAAAATGCCCCCTGTCAAACATGTGTATTTGTCATGTTTGTATAGACTGTATAGGGTAGCCTCTTTGAGGGTACAACACTTAGGTATATCTGTGTGTACCCTCTCTCTAACGATTATTCACTTCTTCAATTCTGATATGGTATCAGAGCGTAGGTAGGATCCCCCCCCCCCCACCTACCGCTTCCGCTCGCCCCCTAGCCCCGTCGCGACCCCCCCCTAGCCCCGTCGCGCCCTTCCTGGGCCCCGTAGCGCCCCTCCTGGGCCCCGTCGCGCCCCCCCCTGGGCCCCGTCGCGCCCCTTCCTGGGCCCCGTAGCGCCCCTCCTGGGCCCCGTCGCGCCCCTTCCTGGGCCCCGTAGCGCCCCTCCTGGGCCCCGTCGCGCCCCTCCTGGGCCCCGTAGTGCCCCTCCCTGGGCCCCGTAGCGCCCCTCCTGGGCCCCGTCGCGCCCCTCCTGAGACCCGTCGCGCCCCTCCTGGGCCCCGTAGTGCCCCTCCCTGGGCCCCGTAGCGCCCCTCCTGGGCCCCGTCGCGCCCTCCCTGGGCCCCGTAGTGCCCCTCCTGGGCCCCGTAGCACCCCTCCTGGGCCCCGTAGCGCCCCTACTGGGCCCCGTCGCGCCCCTCCTGGGCCCCGTAGTGCCCCTCCCTGGGCCCCGTAGCGCCCCTCCTGGGCCCCGTCGCGCCCTCCCTGGGCCCCGTAGTGCCCCTCCTGGGCCCCGTAGCGCCCCTCCTGGGCCCCGTAGCGCCCCTCCTGGGCCCCGTAGCGCCTCTCCTGGGCCCCGTTGCGCCCTCCCTGGGCCCCGTAGCGCCCCTCCTGGGCACCGTCGCGCCCCTCCTGGGCCTCGCCTGGGCCTTGTCGTGCCCCTCCTGGGCCTCGTAACGCCCCTCCTGGGCCCCGTAACGCCCCTCCTGGGCCCCGTCACGTCCTCAGGCCCTGTCGCGCCCTGCCCGGCCCCGTCGCCCCCTGCCCGGCCCCGTCGCCCCTGCCTGGCCACGTCGCATCCGCCCGGCTCCGGCGCACCAGCCCGGCCCCGTCGCGCTCGCCCGGCCCCGTCGCACCCGCCCGGCCCCGTCGCCCTCGCCCGGCCCTGTCGCACCGGCCCGGCCCTGTCGCACCGGCCCGGCCCCGTCGCGCCCACCCGGCCCTGTTGCGCCCGCCCGGCCCCGTCGCACCCGCCCGGCCCAGTCGCACCGGCCCGGCCCTGTCGCACCCGCCCGGCCCCGCCGCACCAGCCCGGCCTCGTCGCGCTCGCCCGGCCCCGTCGCGCCCGCCCGGCCCCGTCGCGCCCGCCCGGCCCCGTCGCCCCCGCTCGGCCCCGTCGCACCGGCCCGGCCCCGTCGCGCCCGCCCGGCCCCGTCGCGCCCGCCCGGCCCCGTCGCACCCGCCCGGCCCCGTTGCCCCGGCCCGGCCCCTGCGCTCGTCCCTGCCTCGGCCCCCCCTTCCCCCTCACTGGTACGGTCCCCCCCCCCACACCACACTGTACTGCCCTGCACCGCACTGCACTGCACTGCACCGCACTGCACCGCACTGGACCGCACTGCATTGCACTCCTCTTTGCTGCACTGCCTCGCACCGCACTGCACTGCTACTGATGGCGGCGGAGCTTCGCTTTGATGCTGAAAGCCAGCCTCTGGAGTTCGAGGCGTGGCTGGCCGACCTCCGCCGCCAGCTCACTGGCCAGCGGCAGGATGGTGAACCGCTTTCCGCACACCTTGACGGTACGCTCCCCTGCCCAGACCCCCCTGCTATTCTGTCCGCTGACTCCACACCCACTGAGCGCGAGTCCACTGCTGCCACTGCCCGTGCGCGCTCTGTCTGGCTTTCTCGCGATGCTGTCGCTCAACTTGCCATTAGCAACGCCCTTCCCCCGTCCGAGCGCCCTCGCTTTAGGTCCCTCACTACTGCTCAGGCCTACAGTACTTAGATGCTGTCATCAAGCGCTATTCCACCCCTCCGGCTGCCTCGGTGGGTCGCCTGATCCTCCCGATGCTGTTTCCTGACCTTGCATCTTTCCCCACTATCTCTGACCTCGCTGCTCACCTGCGCTCGATAGATGACACCTGGCGCGCTGCCTGCACTGACGCACAGCTTAGAGCCCACCAGCCGCCCATTACCTCTACCCTTTACCTGCTTGCCACCCGCCTCCCTGACCGCCTTGCTGTCGCCCGCGACCGCTTCCTTAGCATTCACCCCGCAGACCTCACCCTCACTGACTTTGTCGACACCCTGACTGTGATAGAGACCCGCCACCGCTCCATCGCCCAGGCGAGCGGTACCGTCCCGGTCCCTATCTTTCAGGGTTGTGCCCCCGCTCAGTGTACCTTCTCCGACGGCTCTGCCGCTGTGGCTGAGACTGCTGCTGCAGCGCAGTTTCGTTCGGGGAAGGGCCGCCGCCCCAAGGTTGGGCGCGGCGGAGGAGGCGGGGGTGCAGGAGTGGGTGGTGGTGGGGTCGGGTCGTCTGGTGCTGGAGCGGACGAGGGGACCCTGCCCAGTCCAGCTGAGCCGCCACCTCTGCAGTTGCAGCAGCCGCAGCAGCCGCCGCAGTCGCAGCCTTCGCAGCAGCCGCAGCAGCCGTCGCAGACGCGGCAGACGAGTGTCCTCCCGCCCGGGTGGCCCGGCGCTGGCGGTGGTCGGGCGCGTGGTGGTGTGCCGAGTGGTGGCTCGGGCGGCGGGCGTTGTCAGTACTAGATCCAGACCGGTCCTCGCCGCAGCTTCGTTTGCGGTAAGATCGGTCACTCCACTCCCCGCTGTTTTCGTCGCCTGGACGACCTCTTTCGTCAGCGCTTCGGCCCGTCGCCAGACCTCCCGGACTGGCACAGTTTGCTTAGTCGTAAGATTCAGATTTTTGATCTTGACATGGATGCCATTGTTTCTGCTCTGCATGTGATGTATGCTGATGACTCTAGTGTGCTTCCCGCTTATTACTCACTGTTGCCTAGTGTAGGTGTGTCTAGCTTAGCCTCCCCTGCTGCGTCAGGCGTAGGATCCCCTGCTTTGTGTAGACTTGGTGCCTCCACCGTCGTTCCGTCGCCAGACGCCTCTGCTTCGCTTTCCTTCACCTTGGACTCTGGCGTTTCTCGGTATTTCTTCCGCGACTCCACCACCCTGACGCCGCTTCCTGTTCCTGCTGCTGTTTCTCTTGCTGACCCCTCCGGTGGTCCGGTAGTCGCCCGCAGTTCCACCACCCTTCCCTGTCCGGCGGTTCCTTCGGGCACTCTCACAGGTCTGCATATCCCCTCGTTCTCCAAGAACCTAGTTGGTGTCGGCTGCCTCCAGGACCTTGGCGTCACCACTACGTTCCCTGGTCACGAGCGGTATGCTGTCTGTACCGAGGCCGCCACTGGTGCCACCCTGTCCACGTTCCCTCGGGACCCGGTGTCCGGCCTGTTCAGTCTGGATACCGTGGCCCCCCCGGCTGGAGCGCTCACCCAGGTTGCTGCTGCCTGCTCCTGTCGG